TGACAATTACCGGGCAGTGTTGGCTATGCACGCCTAAAATACAGCACTGTGGAGGCGAGGGTTGGTGGATCAGATAAATGTGGTGAAACTCCTTTCCCGTGATCATCATGGCTCGCCAGGAGAAGGCAGTGCTGCAAGTGGACTAATCACCCCCTGATTCCATCTGTATGGGGATGGCGTTGCCTCCATCGCACGTATTGGCGCTCCAGTTTCCTCCCACACGGTTAACAAACACTCATCATTAATTGGCTGAAAACATCTTCAAATAAAAACCCAAAAGCAGGATCCTCCTGAAAGAGTCCTACGCCTCAGCATGGCACTCCTGGAATAGAAACAAATAGACCGCACAAGTAAAGCCCGAGAGTCAATCCCGTGTTGGATGAAGGCCTCCCAATGCAGTGCGCTTCGTGTGGGGTTACTTGACCACACTTCATTGCGCTGGTCATTGCGGGTTTGTGAAGATGTGGAGCATAGACGTAGGAGCATTGAAGCACAGTACAACTGATTTTGTTGCATGGCCAACGATCTGACGAATCGTGTAAAGTCTGGGTGGTTTGGTGGTAGGCGCGTGATTATTCCTGGAAACGTTCAAATTGACGCGTTCCATGGCGTGTGCGAATATATTACGCATTTGTCCTCGGAGGTGGCAACGTTGTCCCCAATCCGTATTTTGAGGTCACGCAAAATATCCTGGATCTCATCGTACAGCACCTTCCCCTTGAGCCAGGCCACCTTGTGCGAATTCATCTCCTTCTCAGCCTGGCACCACACACCAATGACACCATCAACAACAGTGACACCGACAAAATCAATGACACCATCAATAACACGCCTGTACTTACACCACATAACCGTGATGACACCATCACCTCAAGCCACCAGTCACATCGAGATATCAGCGCCAACAATTCGACGTAACCACCACTCGCACACCCCAAAACCCACGCACCGCTACAGCCACACGCAACAACCCGCCACCACCGCCACCACCACCACCACTCACGCCGCCCTCACGCCACGGGGCAACGCGGCCCGCACCTCCTGCACGCTGCGCCCGAGCGCCACGCGCCTCGCGAGGCTCCCCGCGGCCCGGGAGACGTCGAGCAGCAGCCGCGAGACGTCGGGCTCCGTGCCCGCGAGGAGGAGCCGCAGCGGCTCGAGCTCCGGGGAGTCTGCGCCCGACGCGGCGGCTCGCGGCGCCGTCCCCGTCAGCTCGGGCGCCAGACCCGGGCCACCGTCCCGGTGCCGACGGGGCAGCAGACCCGGCCACCTCGCCCTACTGCTGCTGCTGCTGCCTGGAGCGGGCGGAGGACAACATCGGGCACAACTTTACTTGTGTTGCACTCTTTACTTGTGTTGCACTCGTTGCTTGTGTTGCACCCATTGCTTGTGTTGCACCCATTGCTTGTGTTGCACCCATTGCTTGTGTTGCACCCATTTCTTGTGATGCACTCGTTGCTTGTGTTGCACTGAACAACCGTGAGATGTGGCGGTGAGGGTTTGGGGAGGCCTTCACCAAACAGCGGATCGAGCATGGTCGGTGATGGTGGGGGTACAGCACCTTGAGCCGCTGGTCGCTCCATCGCCGCCTTGGCCGCAGGGAACGGAAGGAACGAGAGGAATGAGTGACGAGTGGAATGAGTGTAACGAGTTGAATGAGAGTGACGAGTGGAATGAGAGTGACGAGTGGAATGAGAGTGACGGGAGGAATGATTTTCGGTATCGGAACAGCGACTTGAGTTTCCCGCCGACTTCCAGTGCACCACGTGACTACGGTAGCCCGCGTGCACGGGAGGGGATTGTTGGGGGGACGAACACGTGAAACGCGATTCGTAAATGTGAGAGCGTGGGTCCTGTGGAAATCATGCAATACTGTACAACACCACATGTACAGGTGAACGATGCATAGAGTAATCGATGAATGATGACGACTGATAATGTATTGAGTGTGACAATGACGATCGTGATGATTATTAACATGAATCGATTAAAGTCAAAATGAGTAACTGCATAAATGAGTGCAGAAATATTGGGTTGGTGCGAGTCCCCTAGACCCCTACAAACAGCCCCGGGCCAGTGATTTGACTTCCACATTCCTATGACCGGGACAGTTCGATCCGTTGGACAACCACTGTGGAATTCCCCACAAAGCAGTACTGTATCAACCTCGAGCGGCTCGAAGTCAAGCCCCCAACGAGGATCTGAACTCTCATCACGATCAGCTTTGCTCTCCCACAGCCACGCGGGCGGTGAGCCGGTGTGCAGGTCGTCGGCAATCGCGATTATGAAACATCGATGACGCTCGAGTCCACCCACACGCCCGCCGGCTGGGAGGCCGCTCGCATCGCGTCCACGTCTTAATTCGCACGCGTGACCTGGCCGGGTTCAGCCAACGACAACCGCGCAGGGCGATACCAAAATTAACACGACGACGATGACGACGATGTTGATGATGACGGCCACGGATGGTGTTTCAGCCCCACTACCCCCCCCCACCCGGTCACCCGCTAACAGCGGCCCCGGCTTGTCCAGCCGTGCCGGCTTTCATCGGAAGGGCAGCGCCCGCGCTCGAGCCGTCACGGCGGAATGCGCGGGCGTGTGACGAGGTCTCGTTACCGGCACCGCGCTAAATAAAGACGCGGAGACACTGACCCCTGCCACGGACTCACAGCCCCGGCTCCCACCACAACCCCCATCGTCATCAGCGGCAGACACGCTCGCTCCACTGCTGGATGAATGTCTCCTCCCCCAGCCACCCACCCCACCCCGCCCCCCGAGGGTCTCCGCATCTGCGACGGAGTGATCCACCCAGCCACCTGCACTCGATGGGCATTGATCGCTCCATCTCCTCGCTGAACGTGCCTCTTAGACGCGTTTTATTTCCCCCGACACCCCCACCGTGTTGGCTACCTGCACTACAACCCGTCTGTCGACCACTGCAGGGTGAGAGCAGTGGTCGGTGCGGATTGCGCGACGCCTGTGCTTTGCAGCGTGGCGGTCAGCCAGCCCGGGACGTTGTCCAGGCTGCGCCCTGCTGAGCCTGCGGGCTTGGCGGGCGAGATGCGGCCCCGCCTCTCGTGGCGGCTCCGGGCGGACCTCCGAGCCGCTTGGCGCGGTGTGCGGGGAGGGGAGGGCGGCTGCGTGAAGTAAGAGAGCGAGTGGAGGGGGCCGAGTGTGCGGTGAGAGGGGGGGGGGGTGATTGAGTGTGTGAAGGAGGGGGGGGGGCTGAGCGTGTGAAGAGGGGGGCTTTGAGTGTTTGAAATGGGGGGGGGCTGAGTGCGTGAAGAGGGGGGTGTATGAAGAGGGTGGGGGGCTCAGTGAGTAAAGAGGGGGGGAGTGGCTCAGTGAGTGTAGGGGGGGGGCTCAGTGAGTGCAGGGGGGGGGGGCTTAGTGAGTGTAGGGGGGGGCTCAGTGAGTGCAGTGGGGGGGGGGGCTCAGTGAGTGTAGGAGGGGCTCAGTGAGTGTAGGGGGGGGCTCAGTGAGTGTAGGGGGGGGGGCTCAGTGAGTGCTTGAAGAGGGGAGGGGGCTGAGTGAGTGGGAGCGGAATGCGAGGAATGCGCGCGCCGGTGATGTGTATCGCCACGTGCGCTCGCAAAGCGGCACGGGGGAGACAAAGACGGCGGCGAGGACGGGTTGAAGAGGGAGGTGGTGAGGGGTATCGCTGAGCCCGTGCAAAGACAAAGATCCCCGTATAGCCTTCACAGACGGTTGGGCAAGTGCTGCTATCGAAAACCGATTAAGGCCGGCACTGTGGCACACGAGGGGGTGGGTGGCCAGCACCACGCCCGGTCGCCTTTGTCTCCCCAGTGTCGATGTTTACGCACCGCACCAGGTACTCATTTGAGGCCGAATCGACCTAGAGGGTGCCCAGGACCGGTTTAGATAATCGTCACCGGTGTTGGCCGTGAGCGGGACTTGAACTCGGGTCGCCGGGCTCGTAGCGCAGAGCGCTAACCGCGACACCACCACGACAAAGCCCGTACACGTACACACGCACACACGCACACACACGTACACACGTACACACGCACACTCGCGCAAGCCTCCCCACGCACCTTCTTACGTTCCCTGCTGCAGAGCAATCCCCACCGCCTCACGGTGGGACCGATATTTTCTGACACCATCCACTCACCACACTCGGGAACCTGGGTTAATCACAGGCAGGGTTTTGGTTTTCCCAGAATCGTCGTTTTGACCATTAAATTGTCCTGGGAAATCCGCAAGTCTTCCCGAGTCGCTAAACATTAAAAGTGCCTGTTTTCTGAGTGTAGTAGTAATAATAAGGCACCACTCAAGGAAATTAAGGCATTGCCACGTGGTTCTCCTCTCTTCCACAACGACTGGGAGACGTTCTTTCCACGATGGGTCCCCGGTTTCTGTCGTCTTCTCAGAGGTGGCAACTCAAATCCCAGGACGGATGCCTCAATTCGTACACCTGGGATCTCAGCAGCTCGCTCAGTGCCCTCCGCCCTCCGACCCGCCACCGGTCGTCCGCCTCGAGACCTCCACGCGGACGGCGCCGGTGGCGGGGAGCCCCCGGCACTTTGCGAAGTCGCGGTTCCATCCGGGGAGCAAAGGTAGCGAGGCGCGTTGGCGGTGGCGCGACGGCTCCGAACGCCGAGCGCGGCGTGTGAATGAGTGACAGGGCGGCGAGGTGTCACCGGGTCTATAAACAGCCGAGCTCCGTTGGTAATAGGGCCCGCGTGTTCCAGCGTCAGGACGGCGGCTTGTGCTGCCGCCGCGACTAATAACGCGGCAGAACATCCCACGGCACACGCGGCCGGTCTGCTCCTCCGGCACTTGTGGTGGACAACCGGGAACATCCCACAACGACCTCCACGTGAACGCCGAGAGACAACCGCTGAACATGTCCGCGTACACGCGCACGCAGGTGGACGCTGCCGAGCGAGCGCCCCCCCCCCCAAACCCCCCACGGCATGGAAGAAGAAACCCAGGCGCAGGGCTGAGCGGCAGCGCTGATGGATGAGACGCTTCCAGTACAAAATTCTAACGTTTATTCAAAATACAAGCATTTTTTATGTATCCTAATTATATTAATTTGATTCTCTTTAAATTAAAATACCTCCACCACCACACACCCGACTCGGTACCAACAACACCTTTAATTTAGCGCCACGACCTCGGCTGGGTGCACTATAATTTAAACAAACTGCCGCGGTGTCCACGCAAAATAAAAATATTAAAAACGATGCCCGCTAAAGTGCCTGTTCTCCAGATGTGCTCGGAGAGCGGACCCACGTGCGGCTCGACAGCATGTGCAGCAGGTGCAGCATGCGCAGCAGGTGCAGCAGGTGCAGCATGTGCAGCAGGTGCAGCAGGTGCAGCAGGTGCAGCACGTGCAGCAGGTGCAGCAGGTGCAGCAGGTGAGGCACCCTGCCGTCTCACACTTCGTTCCCAGATTCACGGTAGGAAGTCAACCGCGGGACAATGAACTCGGTCAACAGCCGGAGAGAGGCTATTGGGGAGCCCCCGTCCAGAGCCCCGGCTGGCAGCATGCGGGGCGTCGTCTCTTCCCGCTTTCTCCGTTTTTGCCGGCGGTCCAGAAACCGGGGCGGTGACGGAGCCGAGCGGTAGCGCGTTCGCCGCTCGCCAGAAGAGGTTTGCACCTTCGAAGCCGGCGGCCAACCTGGGCAAATGCTGCGATGTGTCGTGGGTGTCAAGATTATTCAACAAAAGTGTGGGCCACGTGTGCTGCCGCCACGCCCCAAATGTGATCGACTACTCGCAAACTACTGAATCCCTATTCACGCACAGCAACACATCGCCCCCCGCTGGTAGGCTGGCGCCCACTTGCAGGCCGGTGCTGCGTTCATCTTGTGCCGCACAGGGACAGCTGCCACCGGGGATCCCCCACGGTCCGACTAAAGCGCACGGGCGGCACCGGTATCAGATTCAGCGGCGACAGCGACGACGACGGCCACGCAGCCGACCTGCGCCGGGATCGTCGTGCGGCGGCGGCGACGACGGCGTCGTCACGGCGACGCGCTGCTGCCGCCCGCCGGCTCCCTCCGCTGCAGGTGGCAGTGGTGGCACAGCAGGCGCCCGCCGAGCGGATAGCACCGCCGCCCCTCCTCGTCGTTCAACCGCATCTTGCAGCTCTGCGGGGGCGGCAGGATGGGGAACTCGGCACCGTGGGCTAGCGCCGGTGCCCATGGCGACCGGGGCGGCGCCCACGCTCGTGGTCATGGGCGACCTTTGCCCGTTGCCGCAGCGGTGGAAGAGAACTCACTTTATCCCCCAAATGTTGTTTTCCCGTGAAATCATATTCCTGAGTATTTCCGACTGCATCGGTTCCCTTCTGAATGTTCGTTTCCCTTAATTTATTCTAAATAGGTTACCCATGCAGTCGATATCTATGATTTCAACAAAAACCTTAAAATTAAAGCCCCCTTCAAACTCGTGAAGGAGGTTCCCAGTTTGCGGTGTCGTTTTACTTACTCAGAGCGTCTGGTCGGTCTTAACCTTATCCTCACAGATGCACTCTCTGAAGGTTTCCTGGGCAGAGACTAACCCAAATTAGTAAACCTAAACTCTAACCCTAAATAAGCCTAACATGAACTAACCCTAACTAGCTAACTAACCTTAACACGAATATATTTACCCTAAACATATCCCTAACTGTTGGGAACAAACACTCATTACCTCTCATTTACCTTGGGGTACAACTGGACAGCTGCTTCCTGAGGGGATCAAATCGGCCTCGGGGAACCACGATTGGTGCACAGGGGTAGCCCCGGTGTGGTGGTGGCGGCGGTGGTGGTGGCGGCGGTGGTGGTGGTGGTGGCGGTGGTGGCGGCGTTGGTGGTGGCGGCGGTGGCGGTGGTGGTGGCGGCGGTGGTGGTGGTGGCGGCGGCGGTGGCGGTGGCGGTGGTGGTGGCGGTGGTGGCAATGGTGTCAATGGCGACGGTGGTGGTGGTGATGGCGGTGGTGGTGGTGGTGATGGCGGTGGTGAATGGTGATGGCGGTGGTGAATGGTGATGGCGGTGGTGGTGGTGATGGCGGTGGTTATGCGTTACCTCGCAGTGGTAGCACTCCACGTGGTAGTCTCTGTCCATGGACACCACACGGATCACCTCCTCCGAACCCTGCACCACCGAGACACAACCGCAGTGTAACACAACCGCACCGAGCCACAACCTTGCCGTGACAACCATGTGGAGATTGGCGAGTCAGCCAGTGGACAGCTTCAGTTGTCTATGTGGTCCATGGTTTCAGACTTAAGACTCACATAGAGACCCACAGCCGCACTTAGACAACCACAGACTCACATAGAGACCCACAGCCTCACTTAGACAACCACAGACTCACATAGAGACTCACAACCGCACTTAGACAACCACAGACTCACATAGAGACCCACAGCCGCACTTAGACAACCACAGACTCACATAGAGACCCACAGCCGCACTTAGACAACCACAGACTCACATAGAGACCCACAGCCGCACTTAGACAACCACAGACTCACATAGAGACCCACAGCCCCACTTAGACACCCATAGCCTCATATGATAATCCATAGCTTTACTGAGACTGTGCGGTGATCGCAGTCGCACTCTGGGGTCATCCTCCACCGTCCATCGATGCAGGAGGAGACGGCCGCGAATTACTGAACCAGTTAACGAGCACTCTGACCCGGTGAACGCGCCCTCTGACCCGGTGAACGCGCCCTCTGACCTGGTTAGGGAGGATGGGGAGGCCGCAAGCCGCGCATTTCGGGGCGAACGTCCTGCGCACACACGCGCACACACACGTACACACACGCGCACACACGCGCACACACACGCGACAAGCACACACGCGAAACATGCAGCAGTGTTGTTGTTACTGCGGTCGCAACTCCGAGGTGAATAATCAAACACGCACGCATGCACGCACATGCGCACACACGCACTCGCGCACGCACACACACACGCGCGCAAACACGCACGCACACACGTGCAGCATGTGTCTGTGGCCAGCGATTTGCGTTTTACCTGGATCTGCGCATCAGCAGGCGCCACACAGCCAGAGCCACATGCAAAGAAAACATTGTTAGCCAGTGCTCGGTTAGCCACACAGCGCCAGCCACACCGCCCACAGTGCGAGCCAGCTAGCACACGGTGTTCAAACACCCAGCCCACGGCGTTAGAACACCCAACCCAATGTGTTAGAACACCCAGCCCATAGTGTTAGAACACCCAGCCCACGGAGTTACAACACCCAGTCCACGGTGTTAGAATACCCAGCCCATAGTGTTAGAACACCCAGCCCATAGTGTTAGAACACCCAGCCCATAGTGTTAGAACACCCAGCCCATAGTGTTAGAACACCCAGCCCACGGAGTTACAACACCCAGTCCACGGTGTTAGAACACCCAGCCCATAGTGTTAGAACACCCAGCCCATAGTGTTAGAACACCCAGCCCATAGTGTTACAACACCCAGTCCACGGTGTTAGAACACCCAGCCCACGGAGTTACAACACTGCTACTTAGTCACGTGCTACCTACTCCCAGTCTTTCAGCGACCCAAAAAATATTGGGTGCTATATTGAGCCCTGGTCGAGCATTCAGTAGATCTGGTGGTAGTCACGCAACTCCTATGGCACAGAGGCTGTCAGGGCAGGGGCTATGGCCATGCTTGCTAAGCTTTATCAGAGGCCACAGTCTGCCCGTGGGGGGTGATGCTGCAGTGTACAGTACGTAATTACATACAATTAAATAATTTGCAGAGAATTTCCCAAAACGTGACAAAGTTTAGACCGTGACGCCAGAACACAATGGCCTAAAGATTAAACATGTCGTAACGTTATTTTTTTCGCTCTCGTTAACACGCCCGGCAGCATTAACCAGGGCGGCCGCCGGGCGCCGGGCTCGAACCGCCCCGCAGAGACGACGCGAGCGACGGCACGGGCAGGGACCCCCCCCCCCCGTGGGGCCCACCGGTGGTAGTCCTGCACGCAGTAGACCCGGTGGTCGCGGTCGACGGTAAAGGGGACCCCGTCCAGGCCCTCGTTGCAGACGACGCAGCGGAAGCACGTCGGGTGGTACGCCTTGCCCACGGCCTGCAGGATCTGACCGCCGGCACGACCCGGCACACCACATCCAGTATATCTCTCCATCTGGCTGCCAGTCGCACGCTCATTTCATTACAACTGCTCTTTGCGTTTAGTTTGTTGTCCTTCCCCGTACCTCCGATGAGCACGGTTGGTGCGACAAAAGTTCAACGTACGTACCGCCTAGGACTTCAGTCTTGGGAGGACAAATATTCACACCGGGCATGATCGTGAAGAACGCCAGTTTAATGGCGGAGTTGTTTTTATTGTTACAATTTGCTGTTGGTGTTACTTCAGCAAGAGATGAAGAATCAATTTGGAATTCCAGCAGAGCAGTGCAACCCCTTCGTACGAAATTGGAGATCGGCCAATGGAAGCGAATATCACAGAGGTACCTCCGAGAACCTTCCGCGTGAACTCATAGATTTGGAGGTGGAATTTCCACACTCGCTCTGCATATGAGAGTACTGATATATTTAATTCTCAGTGCTGGAATTTGCCAAAATTGAACGAGAACTAATCATTGGTGACCGGGCCAAGACCATCAACTGGCTGCACTTGAGAACCCGGTGGAATCAGGGGCAGTGGCTGGAACCCGAACCCAGGGTCTCAGCGTCGCCAGCTCCGCGTGCCTGACCTCTGAGTCACCCGGTCAACCTCGCGGCTTCTCATCACTCTCCAGAGAGCGTTGGCATTCGGACGCTCGCTCTGCGTGTGTTTTCTCTTCTTCCCGCTGGCGAGGCGGAGGTCGGTACAGTGCTCGTGCGGTGCCCATTGTTCGCGCCAGGCTCGGCCGCCCCACTCAGGTTCTCCACTGTATTCAGCGCAAATTCCTGAGGCTCAACGAGCCATGAAAGAGAGACCCCCTGCCGCCAACTTAAGATGCAGAAATGCGACTGGTTATCTCTGGCGGGGGCGCACGGTTACCGACCCTGCGGAGGGCAGGGTTCACGGCGGGCGTGCCCAGCGGGCCCGGGGGATGTAACGAAGAGGGGGGAGGGGGTACGCATTGCGATGCCGGCGGCGCGGCGACCACCGGGGACCGAGATTCGTGGCAGGGGAAGTGGCACCGGAGGGGCGAGGCGGCCCTCTCGGTAAACCACGAATCCCCAGGGCAGAGGCGCCCCTGTTTTTCCTAAACAAATAAAGAGCATTTGGAAATCAGAGTGATTTCCTGCTGCTCAAGGAACATTGAGGCGGGGCCCATCTCCTGTTTACAGCCTTGAGCCAGTGGTGGAAATTCCACATTCCTATGGCAGGGGCGAGTCTTTACAAAAGATGACCACAAAAGTAATACTTGTTTTATCGACCACGGGAGGATGATGGGCCGAGCCAACACCCAAACAGGATTTCAATGGCAAAATCATGATTGCTCTACCGTTAGGCCACCTATCATCCTCCTCGGGGTTGATAAAATTAGCACCACTTTTTACAGAGGTCAATAGTGGTTGTCCTGCGGATAGACTCAACCCCGTCATAGGAATGTAGTATTCCAACCACTGCCTCTGCTGGACGGTAGACAGAAGATGAGCACCAATGGCCCGGCGGTCGCTTGAGCAGCCGGAAACCACTTTGAGACTTCTGCCCCACGACCGCGTACAAGCCGGGTGCCTCTGCGCCCGCCCGCGTCGTCGACGTCGCCGTGCCGTCGCCACGCCGTCGCACCGCACGGCGCCGGCGAGCCGACGGCTCCACGCGGAGGACAGAGCGGGCCTCACCGTCTCCATGATCAGGTGGCCGCACTCAAAGCACTTGTCCGCGTTCTGCTGGAAGCCGGAGTACTGCGCGACAAGGAGTGGGGAGGGGGGAGGAAAACACTCGCAGCGTCAGTGTCGGGCCGCGTGTCGAGCATCGCCTCTCCTGCAGGAGGAAGACCGGCAGATGCAAGGAGAGGCTCCCTCGATCCGGCTCCTGAGGATGCCGCAGCAGTGCGTGGCAAGCGCTGGACGGAAGGAATGCTCGACACGCGGCCGAAACCCCGAAGATCACGCTCGGATCGCCGCGCCTACGTCACAGAAGCAGACCACTTACAACATTGAGAAACATCCCACGCGAGAAAGGTCATTCTCCTCTGCTGACCCGCACAGTCTGGAAATCCCTTCCGCCAGCCGCCTGTGCTATTGAATCCCTGCCTCATTTTCACAGAGACCCAGAGACTTACACGGAGACCCATAGATTCACAAAGACCCATAGACTCACAAAATGCCCACAAACTCACACAGAGACCTGCATCTTTCTACAAAAGATGCTCACCGTTTCTGTACAGCACCACGTGGTCACATTTAGACGCTACGTACATCCACGTCGCATTGAAGAGGCTCGCACCCAAAGACCCACAGCCTGGCACACAGAGACCTACGACCTCCGCCCCCTACAAAACAAACAGCATCGACCACTTGCGCACGGCGTCCAGAGACGCGGTCACACACTGACATCATTTACAAAGTCCACGCTGCACCGTAACATGCATACATACGTAACGCGCGTTTCTAACCAGCTCCACTTAGCCGCCCCAGTCCGCCCGGCACTCACCATCGCAGTTTAGCAGAGACCGTGTGCTACCCAACACCAGCGGGTCCACGACTCCTACCCCATCGCACTCCCAAACAAACCCTGTGCCCCCCACCCCCCTCTCCCGCCCGCACGGCGGTGCGCATGAGAAGCTAATTTGGCGCTTGTCTGCTTTCCAGAAACGGCAGCGGGGTAAACAGGAGCCCGGCGTGGGGAGCTGTGCGCTGCTGGCACGGTGTTTGCGCATAGCGGCGCTGGCTGTTGACAGCTGCCATCCGACACGGCCGAAGCAACGTGTTATCGTATTAATCTATTTATGCCATGTTTATATTTCTCGATAGGGCACGATAACCCAGTCTCTCACGCCGCGATCGTCGCGCCAACGCGCCACGGGACTCGGAAAGACTTCTGCAAATGTTGCCGCGTAGCCGTTGTGCCGTTATGCACTGTCCGGATTTAAAAAACGCCCCGGGAAGTGAGACGTACCCCAAAGTTCTTCCCGATGTCAATAAAGTTCAACAAACCTGGACGACAGCCGCCATTCTCCGCTAAGTGTCTAGGTGACATCACCACAACAGGTGCACGTGAGGTGCGGAAGGCTCTCGCTGCTGGCAGGAGGTCGCGCGACAGACCCAGGTGCTGTGGGTCACAGATTGCCGAAAGGTGCACCAGCTGTGATCCCCACGTGCCAACTGGCACACATCTGGAGACTCGCACGCGAAGAAGCAGCCCCAACCCTTGCGAGAGAAAGTGCGTCCCATAAGCGGGAGAATGCGGTGGGCACGCCCGCACGTGGCACTCACCAGATAGTCCTCTTCGCAGTAGACCCTCCCGTTGACGTTGTAGAACGCCTTCCCGCGCAGGCGTCTGCCTGCAAGTCGAACGTGACGACAACGAACGGCGTCACAAGCGAGCGAGCGAGCGCGCCCGGCCGGGTGGGTGGGTGGGTGGCGCAGCGCGGGAGCGAGCGGCAATCAGACGTGCACGAGTTCGATTCCTGGTTGAGGGTTGACTCAACCTGTCATTTATCTGGGGTCGATAAAATCAGTACCACTTTGTTGGGAAGCCAACTGTGCTTGTCCTATGTATAAACCGACCCGTGCCATACGAATGTGGAATTTTCACCACTGGTTCTGCAGGGCGGTAAACGGGAGACAAGCACCCAACGCCTCAATGATCGTTTGTGCGGCAGGAGGCCGCTGTGACTTTGAATTTGGCAGGGGCGGAGCAATTTCAGGGTCTTTGGCTGATTGGAGTCGGTGGCACTCGACTAAACAGCCCCGGGGCACAGCGAGGGGCATGGCGGACGCGGCGTGAGTGTTGGGTGCGGAAACGTGTTTAGAGTTACCGACCCGGACCGACCAGTGTGCAGTGTATCCCCACAATCGGGTGATCAAATAAACGCTCAACAACCCAGGGAGAACGCGAGCTGCTGCGTAATCGATAACAAACAAGGGGAAGCAGCTCCCACGGCGCGGTTCGCGGCACGACCCGCAACCACCGCGGGGCGCGTCCACAGTCGTCGACGTGGCTAATCGGTGCCCTTTCCCCAAACGCAAATCCCCAAATCACTTTCTCGCGGCTCGCACCCCGCACCCCGCCACGACGCCGGTCCTTATTTACCCCAAGGTTGCCGCTGGGCTTTTTTCCGGAGGCTCGTATTGAGTTGAACATTTGTTAGGCATGACACCGGCTCCCCGCTGACAAGCCGGGGGCCCGGGTCTCACATTCCGCAGAGTCCCGAGGCCCCGGCGAGGCCCCCCGTGTCGCCCCCCCCCTCCCGCGGGCCCGGCACCTGCGTGGTGGTGGCGGCAGGCGCCCTCCGCGGCGAGCCACACGGTCCCACGCGCACCCCCCCCACCCAAAATCATTTTGCACGCCTGGCACACCGCATCCAGGGTCGTAGTTCTTGCCAGACCAACTGTTTTAAGCGTTGATGGTTTTGCGATACTGCGTTGACAGCGTTGCAGAAGCACAAATGACAAAAAATGTAAGCACAATCGTCACAAACACTGCCGTAAAAATATATACTTAATATGGAGAAGGGCCATTGCCTGGAACGTTGTCTATTATATAAAGATCGTTGACTTCCAGGGCCGAGCGTGGTGACCAGCACCCACAGAGCAGCCGTCATCTCAGCCTGGCGTGGAGCTGCATTCTGGGCATGCGGGTGGTGATATCCATGTTTGTACTGTGCTTCCATGTACCCGTGTATGTATGTATGTTGAACTGATTTCCCACGGTACGTAGCCAACCATGCTCCCTTCCTTCACCAACCCCACCGGCAGAGTGGCGCGGTGTGGCTACGTGTGTGCCTCGGACGACTCACCGCAGGAGCAGCACGTGAAGCAGCGCGTGTGGTAGTAGCAGCCCATGGCCTGGCAGGCCTCGCCCATCCCGTACACTCCCTCGTTGCACTTCACGCACACACCTTCACGCACACACACACATACACACACATATACACATACATATACACATACACACACACATACACACACATACACACACACATACACACACACATACACACACACACATACACACACACATACACACACACATACACACATACACACACACATACACACATACACACACACATACACACACACATACACACACATACACACACACATACACACACATACATACACACATACACACACAACGAAAACAGAGGGGGGCATTCATATTACAATTCTCATCGTCGTCGTCAGCCATGATCTATCCACTGCTGGCATCTCTCGCAATCCTGTGATGTTGTTGTTGAACTTCTTTCGCACCGAAAGTAGCCCACCGTGGTGCATATTCTGAGTGGCATGAAGCAACACCAAGACGTGGCGTTTAACAAACCAAAAGGAAGATCACAAAACGCGGACGCATGGCTTGTTCGTGGTTTCAATCGAGAATTGCATTGGTGTCCTGGAGGAACGTGATAACCCACGAGCAGGATTAACTGGATGAGAAAAAGTTGACAATTAATCTGCGTGGGAAGATGGAACAAGAACAACTCTCCCCGCGGGGGATTGCAAAGTGGGTCAGTGAGGGCTCAACGTCAGCGGGGTTTGTAACGTGTCAGCTACAGTAATGTATGTACCCGGCACACCGCATCCAGTATATCACCCCCTATGACTGCGGCTACTACTAGCCAGGTGCCACCTACTCCAGTCGACCAAAGACCTGAACAATATTCAGTGACCACATTAAGAATTTCATAGACAGAACTCAAGTGACAATTGCATTCAAAATTTGGCCTGGCTACAGATACAGCTGATGAGACATTGGCAGCGACATTGTCTGTGTTGCTCAAAGTGAGGAGCATGTGTGTAATTGTGCATGTTATTGAACTGAGAGCCAGGTGGAACATGATACTGTTAGTGAGCGCCTATTAGGGCCGACACATTACACAATGGTGTGGTGTGGCATCACACCCAGCCGCACGTCTCCCCGGTACTGATGTTTAAAGGCGGAGTTGACCCGATTGAGCCCCAGGACCGGTTCAGACGGACATCACTTACCACTGATGTTACCAGTGGCTGGAATTTAACTCAGGTAAACACAATGGTCTAACGACACAGATGTGGTTAGACCATTGTGTGTCTTGATCCAAAGATGAATCATGAATCATGCCCCTAATATTATGAACCCACTGCTGGATGAGAACCTCCCCACGCCGTGGTGGTCCTGGTTAGACGTGGACTAAATCACCACGGCAACACGAATGTTCGTGAATGTTTGTGACTGCTCGACATTGAGGCACCGTGGCCCGAGCGAGCACGTGCATTGGCGACTCCACAGAACGACCCTCCCGGGTTCGACTCGCTCCGTGCTGGGCTACATCAGAACATGGCACGGCTGATGCGACTGTGGATCGCATGGTAACGGCCACTTTCCGCAAAACTCGAGTTTAAAGTTTCATTGCGATTGGGGACTGATCCCAGAGAAATCCAGACTAAAATGACAAAAGGGTTTCCCGTGTCCTACCCGGCCCGTCGCTATCCCAGCCCCGTCGTGTCACCGCCGCCTCCAGGAGCACCGCCTCGTGCGTGCCTGGCAAGGGCGCCACCGTAAGTACACCGACTTTCGAGGGAACATGCACGTTGGAACGCGTTAGCGAATCCACGCGTATGCATGATTTTTGTTCCTTGTGCAAATGTCATGTGCCTGTGTACTCTCCACTCACCGTAGTACTCATCGGGCTTCTTGGAGTCCAGCTCACTCTCGATCTGCTGGGCCATGGCCTCAAGTCGCTCCTCGGTGCTGCTGCTGAAGTCCTGCTTGTTCTGCACGGGGATGGTGAACTTCGCGGACCTGTGGCCGTGAGGAGGTGCCGTTGGGCCCGCTGGCTCTGTGGCCCTCTGGAGGCCCCACTTATGGGGCAGAGGTGGCGGTGCGGGGCACGCCGGTGGCTGGACCTGCTGACCATCGTTCAATCTCCTCTGGTGGCCCTCACTCATTCCCACCTGGTGGACCTCACTCGACACACTTATCTTTCCTTGGTGGACATCGTTCAACTTGTCCTGGTGTCCCTCACTAAATATCACCTGGTTGACCTCCTTCAATCTACCCTGGTTGACCTCACTCGATCTCCCATGGTATCCCTCACTCGATCTCCCTTCCTGTCCTTCAATAAATCTCACATGGTGCACCTCACCCATCTGCCCCTGGTGTCCCTCACTCGACATACTCTGATGGCGCTCACTCAACCTGCCCTGGTGTCCCTCGCGCAATGAACCTTGGTGGTGGTTCTCACTCAAGACCACAGCCCCATCCACCGGCGCGGTCTGGAGTCTCTCCTTGCTCCTGAAGAAACTCTCTTCAGAAGCCGATGTCGCCTCGGGGTGATGTTGCTGCTGCTGCTGGGCCCAGGCTGGAGGCCCCATCTCTCTGGAGGCCTCGCTCCTGCCCGGAGCCACGGGCCCTCCAGAGCCGTGGACCTCAGAGCTCCAGTCGGCGGGAAGGCGACGCGGTACGGCCCCTGGCTGGGCAGCAGCTGCTGGTGATGATGATGGCGGTGACACCGCTGCTGCTGCTGCTGCTGCTGCTGAAGAGGGCGATGATGGTGGCAACATTGATATCCCGTCGGGCTGGAGGCTCAGGCGGCCCGAGAAGCGCTGCCTGGCCTCCTCGAAGCCCGCGCTCGGCGCGTCGGCCTTGCCCACCCTGAACAGGCCGTGGCTGGACGCCTCGTACAGGTCCAGGTCCTGCAGGAAGCGGCTCGCCTCCATCTCCAGCTCGTCGCCCTGGTGATGCATGGTCGCCCGGCAGCGTCCACCTCACTGCTGGCCCACCTCCTCCTGCTCGCCTCCTGACTTCCTCCTTCTCCAATCCCCTCCTCCTCCTCGTCGTCGTCTCCCGCGCCACTCCTGATTAAACCTCGTCTCGCTCCACTTCTATCCTCTTCCTCGTCCGCTTTCTCTCCTCTCTCTCCTTACTCGCTGCCTTGAGTGCCAGCCCGCTGTGTCCTGCTCCTCGAATCTCTTTCCTCCTCCTCCTTCTCCTCACACCTCCTCCTCCGCCAGGGAGCCACCGCGCTCACAGTAGCGGCAGCGCTCACACTCCTGGGAATGGGGGGGGGGGCGCGTTTGTTCCGTCTGTCAGTGTGTCCGCCTGTGTCTGTCAGTGTGTCCGCCTGTGTCTGTCAGTCTGTGCGTCTATCGGTGAGTGTGTCTGTCAGTGTGTGTTGCCTGTGTGTCGTCTTTGAGCGAGTCTGTGTGTGTGAGTATGCGTCTCGTGTCCTCCTCGTGCTATGCCGCGCGCACTGGGGGTGCGTGTGGGGTCGCTGCCTACCCCCCTCACTCCACACACCCCGGAGACCCCCGGAGACACCTGAACACACCAAGCCGCCCCCTCCCCCCCCCCTACAGACGAACCTCCCTGACGACCGCAGGGACCCCGACACCCCCTCGCCCCTCGGGGACACGGAGCGGACCGCAAACCCCAGGGGCAGTCACCGGTGCAGCAGGCACGGACTCACCGCGTTCCTCGACAACAGTGCGCGTGTGGCCCTGAAAGGGGGGGTCGCCACAATAGACGACGTTCCGAGCAATGGCCCTTCTTCACAGCACGGTAATGTCACGGCTGGAGTCGGCTGGGGAGCTGCCCCTGGGCGAGGACGCGGGCCCCGTGGCGGAGTCCGCCGGGAGCGCCTCAGCGGCGGAGGAAGGCGCCACGAGGGGGAGGAGGGGGAGACCAGCAGCAGGGCGGCCTCGCCACGCTCATCCTCGCCACGCTCACCCTCACCACGCTCACCCTCACCACGAGCCGCTCATCCTCACCACGAGCCGCCCACACTCACCGGCTCTCACGTCTGCTCGGGTTAAAGACTCGGCCACTCACTCACAAGAGGCTCGAGAGAGGCGCTGCTGCTGCTGCCACTGCCGCTGCTGCAGTTGTGAGCGAGTGGCGCTGGTTGCTGTCGTCCTTACAGGCGGCTCGGCCACTCGTGCCGACGTGAGCGCCTCGGCCACCCACCACCGCGACTCGCACGGACGTGAGAGAGCGAACCGCCCGCAGAGTCAGTGGCCGCGTCTCCTCCTCCTCCCTGGACCAGAACCGATCCCCGCCCGCCCGCTCGGGGACCTCTCCGAGAGCGGGGCGGGGAGGGTGCGGAGTTGGTGGTGGGGGGGAGTGGGAGGAGGGTGGGGAGGGGGGAGGGGACACTGACCCTCACCCTGACCCTCACCCTGACCCTAACACAAGGGCAGGGTTAGCACAAGGGTCGTTGTTAGACTCGGAGGCAGGCAAAGTGGTGGTGGTGCTGGTGGTGAGAGCGGTGTTTATGCCGTTTGTTCAGTCGGCTTGTTCACGACACCGTGTTCGTGACAGCAGCGTCTGCGTACCTGTGTGGTGGTGTGGGCGTGCGAGTGGTGTGTGTCCGCGTGTCTGTGTGGTGGTGTGTATCCACGTGTCTGTGTGGTGGTGTGTATCCGCGTGTCTGTGTGGTGGTGTGTATCCGCGTGTCTGTGTGGTGGTGTGTATCCGCGTGTCTGTGTGGTGGTGTGAGTAACCTGCAGCGCCACACCTATTACCATCATTAGGGGGAAAAACGGTGATCCAATCTCCGACCCCCAGGAACAGGTTTGCAGATTTGCTGAGCATTTCTGTGAGGTCCTGGGGGAGGGGAAATCCCTCAGCCAGGAAAACATCATGGCACAACGTGGGGATAACCCTGCTGAGGCTGCGGTGCCTCAAATATTGGAAGATGTCACCCCCTGTGAGTGGCTGGCTGAGGTGCCATCTGTTGAGGAAGTACTGAAGGCGATCTGGAGTCTGAGACCAGGAAAGGCACCGGGCAGAGATGATCTCCCAAGCGAAATGCTGAGGGAGGGTGGCGTTTGTGCACAGACTGCCCTATATGACATCATAACAGTCTGGACCACTGGACGGGTTCCGCAGGATTGGAAGGATGCCCTGGTGGTCCCCCTCTTTAAGAAGGGGGACCGCACAGACTGTAACAACTACAGGGGCATCTCACTCCTCAGTGTGCCGGGAAAGGTCCTGGCAAGGATTATTCAACATCGCCTTGCTCGGCACGCTGAGGAGAGGCTTGTGGAGCCCAAATGCGGTTTCAGGAAAGGGCGGTCCTGCACAGATGCCATATTTTCTGTTCGTCTGCTACAGCAGAGGTGTAGGGAATTCCAACAAGACCTACATCTCTGCTTTATTGATCTGGTCAAGGCCTATGATACCATCAGTAGGCCTGGGCTCTGGGTTGTTCTTCGTGCTTTCGGAGTCCCTGACCCTCTGCTCACGATCATTAAGGACCTTCATGATGGTGAGCGGGCCCGGGTAAAACTACGTGGTCGGGAGTCAGAGCCTTTCCCTGTACACCTTGGGGTGCGACAGGGATGTCCTCTGGCTCCCACATTATTTAACATATATTTTTACCACGTAGTTCGTGAAGCCTTCAATAGCTGTTCCGGGGGAATTTCCATTTGGTATAGATATAATGTGGGCTGATCGATGCCCGGGTGCGATCAAGGGATGGCTCCCTATTGGTCAACCACGTTATGTATGCCGATGATTTGGTAATATCTGCTCATTCAGAGGAGTTGGAGACGCTGCTGCTGAGACTGGAGCGTGCCACTAAGAGGTGGGGCCTATCAGCCCCACTAAAACTAAGCACCTGCCTGGGTATTTTGTACCATCGGACACTCCTCCCTCACAACTCCCAATCGGTGCTGGGGCAATAGTGGAGAGTGTGGAGAGTTTCCCATACCTGGGCAGTGTGCTTATGACCGGCTCCAGTTTAACAGCAGAGGTCTCACTCCGAATCAGTCGAGCGGCAATATATTTTCATCGGTTGCGTAACGCTGTGTGGAAGCTACCTGGTCTGTCGCTCCGCACGAAGCTTCAGGTCTTCTCGGCCAGTCATTCCCTCCCTTCTCTACGCTTGCGAAACGTGGACCCCCCTAGTGGAGCATCTTCGCTGGTTGGAAACATTTAGGCTGGCCTGCCTACGATCCATCCTGGGTTTAACCAGGCTGGATTGTGTGAGGAGCTCACAAATCCTTGAAAGATCTGGACAAGGTCCCATCGGTGAGCTCCTCCGGCAGGCAAGGCTGCGTTGGCTGGGTCATGTAGCCCGCATGCCCAGCCACCGCATGCCTAAACAGATTTTGTTCGGCCGGATCGAGGGGGCTAGACGGGCGCGGCACGGGCTAGAGAAGAGATGGAGTGATGTGGTACAGGAGGACGTGGAGCTGAGTGGACTTGCCGATGACTGGTACCAGCAGTGTCAAGATCGGCCTCTGTGGAGGAGGCTCGTGAAGGACGCTACTGGGCAGTTGGAGGCAGTTGCCCTCCAACAATAACGGAGGGCGGAGGAGCGACGCTCACAACAACGAGCGGAGCGCCGGGTGGCTAAAGCACAGCAAGTTGGCACAGTAGGGGGCACAGGTGGTGCATCAGCCAATCATCTCGGTCATCTCGGTCAATCGACCCGTGGCACCTGCTGGGTCTGCCCCGTGACCTCCTGCCAGCGGGATTCGACACTTCACGTGGCCTCAATGTGCACATGGCCTGGCACAAGCGTCGTGGTGACATCACCGACACTTAGTGGCGAATGGCGGTTGTTGTTGTGTGTGCGCGTAGTGTGTGTCCGCGTGTCTGTGTGGTGGTGTGAGTGTGCGGGTGGTGTGTCCGCGTGTCTGTGTGGTGGTGTGAGTGTGCGGGTGGTGTGTGTCCGCGTGTCTGTGTGGTGGTGTGAGTGTGCGGGTGGTGTGTCCGCGTGTCTGTGTGGTGGTGTGAGTGTGCGGGTGGTGTGTCCGCGTGTCTGTGTGGGGGTGTGAGTGTGCGGGTGGTGTGTCCGCGTGTCTGTGTGGTGGTGTGAGTGTGCGGGTGGTGTGTGTCCGCGTGTCTGTGTGGTGGTGTGAGTGTGCGGGTGGTGTGTGTCCGCGTGTCTGTGTGGTGGTGTGTGTCCGCGTGTCTGTGTGGTGGTGTGTGTCCGCGTGTCTGTGTGGTGGGGTGTGTGTGTCTCCCAGCTGCCCCAGAGCTTCCCACAGACGCAGGCCGCGCTGCGCCAACCCCAACGTCAGTGACATGGCGCCTCTCTCTCTCTCATCTCGTCAAGGACCACAAACATCAACCACGCGAACCCCGCGGGTCATCCTCGAAGCAGCAGCGGCGGCGGCGGCTTTTGGCTCAGCCATCGAACAAAGACGGCCACTGCACCGCGCGGCGCTTTCAGGTGCCATTCCACGGCCGTCTGGAACGCTCTTCCGATATTTGGAAGTCACTGGAGCGAAGCGTCTCCGATGAGCACGGTTGGCTACGTACGGCGCGGAAGTTCAACTGAATACTGTGCTGTCTCACGGGCAACACTCGCCGTCAAAACGACCCGGAGCCAGCGGTGTGAAATTCCACATTTTCACGGCGGGAGTAAGTCTCTCCAAAGCCACCTTTGCTGTCCGTCACTATAACCTCACTTCCACTCACCAAAAGAGTCCGATGGCTTAATTCACAAGAGCGACCTGACCCCTAGAGCTTCGGCAGAAGTGATGAATGAAACTAAACTATAAACGGAATGCCATCGCTGTGCATGTGGTGTTTGTTACCGTCGCTGGAAAGTCACTTTCACTTGCTCTACGACACCCCTACCCCCCGCTACTGTTTGGCGATCACCTGTTACGCATTCTCATGGTGGGTCACTCGCGCAGACCATCGCCATCACACGTGCACTGGCAGGGTCAGGGTTGGTTGTATCGAGCAGCCGAGGTGTATGGGGAGCGGTGGCGCAGTGGTTAGCGCACTGCAAGACATCTGGCGACCAGTTCGATTCCTGCCGACGGTGAACACCAGCGAATGAGCCCGCGCCTCCCCTAGATCGACTCCGCCTTAAAACGAGTATCTGAGGGGCGCTGTGCAAACTTCATCACTGTGGAGACAAAGGCGGCCGGGCGTGGTACGAGCCACACCACCCCCTCGTGTCCCGTGCCAGCCATCGTAGGTGGTCGCTTATAGCAACTTGGTCTTGTTTTTAAAGTTTATTTGTGTGTATATGTTGAGACAATTATGTACACGTGTGTAACTACTGTATTCGTGCAGGCAGGTGTACAGTTATGGTAACTGTATGTACAGTATATGTAAGTACTTTAAACGTTTGTAAGTGCACTTTCGTGTGAACCCACTAAACCTGGAACGATGAGCCAACGTTGGCAGTGTTGTTGGAACTGTTGGTTCAACGTGACATGTTTGGGTACGGAGTCCAACACCACCACCGTCAGGAATGCGTCATGATGAACAGGCATGACTTATCCACTGCTGGATGACGAACGTGACCAGACACAAACATCCCGCATACTCAGGGGCTGGCTGAACCCCACAACCGAGGTGGTAATTTTTTTTAATTGAAACTTTCGTCGAATGAAGTGCAGCTAAATCCATTGTTGTACTGCACTTCTAAGCCTCCGCGTCTAAACACACTCCCCAACTTGGGCACGCAGTGGCCAGCGTGCAGTCTGGCCACACAAACCAACTTGGGCACTCAGTGGCCAGCGTGCAGTCTGGCCACACAAACCAACTTGGGCACGCAGTGGCCAGCGTGCAGTCTGGTCACACAAACCAACTTGGGCACGCAGTGGCCAGCGTGCAGTCTGGCCACACAAACCAACTTGGGCACGCAGTGGCCAGCGTGCAGTCTGGCCACACAAACCAACTTGGGCACGCAGTGGCCAGCGTGCAGTCTGGTCACACAAACCAACTTGGGCACGCAGTGGCCAGCGTGCAGTCTGGCCACACAAACCAACTTGGGCACGCAGTGGCCAGCGTGCAGTCTGGCCACACAAACCAACTTGGGCACTCAGTGGCCAGCGTGCAGTCTGGCCACACAAACCAACTTGGGCACGCAGTGGCCAGCGTGCAGTCTGGCCACACAAACCAACTTGGGCACGCAGTGGCCAGCGTGCAGTCTGGCCACACAAACCAACTTGGGCACTCAGTGGCCAGCGTGCAGTCTGGCCACACAAACCAACTTGGGCACTCAGTGGCCAGCGTGCAGTCTGGCCACACAAACCAACTTGGGCACGCAGTGGCCAGCGTGCAGTCTGGCCACACAAACCAACTTGGGCACTCAGTGGCCAGCGTGCAGTCTGGCCACACAAACCAACTTGGGCACTCAGTGGCCAGCGTGCAGTCTGGCCACACTCCCCAACTTGGGCACGCAGTGGCCAGCGTGCAGTCTGACCACACAAACCAACTTGGGCACTCAGTGGCCAGCGTGCAGTCTGGTCACACAAACCAACTTGGGCACTCAGTGGCCAGCGTGCAGTCTGGCCACACAAACCAACTTGGGCACGCAGTGGCCAGCGTGCAGTCTGGCCACACTCCCCAACTTGGGCACGCAGTGGCCAGCGTGCAGTCTGACCACACAAACCAACTTGGGCACTCAGTGGCCAGCGTGCAGTCTGGCCACACAAACCAACTTGGGCACTCAGTGGCCAGCGTGCAGTCTGGCCACACAAACCAACTTGGGCACGCAGTGGCCAGCGTGCAGTCTGGCCACACAAACCAACTTGGGCACTCAGTGGCCAGCGTGCAGTCTGGCCACACAAACCAACTTGGGCACTCAGTGGCCAGCGTGCAGTCTGGTCACACAAACCAACTTGGGCACGCAGTGGCCAGCGTGCAGTCTGACCACACAAACCAACTTGGGCACTCAGTGGCCAGCGTGCAGTCTGGCCACACAAACCAACTTGGGCACTCAGTGGCCAGCGTGCAGTCTGGCCACACAAACCAACTTGGGCACTCAGTGGCCAGCGTGCAGTCTGGCCACACAAACCAACTTGGGCACGCAGTGGCCAGCGTGCAGTCTGGCCACACAAACCAACTTGGGCACTCAGTGGCCAGCGTGCAGTCTGGCCACACAAACCCCTACACCGTGGGCAGGGACCTCATCCAGCAGGGCACTGGCCGTGGCTGGTGGTGGTAAGCGGCTAAATGACGTCACGCGATTTTGGACGATTTTTGACCCCCCTCGTCACACGGCGTCACAAATGTCTGACCCCTCCCCCCCTAGGTGCGTGACGTCATTTATGGACGGCCCCCTTGTGATTAACGCAGTTGCTGCTCTTGCTCCCGCGTCAAAGGAGCGCGAACCACAGCAGCGACATCGCCCCATACCCCGGCGACTCGGCAGGGTCCCTGCTGAAGAGAAAAAGCACCAGTCTGGAGACTCGGAGAGGCTTCCCTGGGTCAACAGCGTCGTCTTGCAGGAGACGCGCGTTCTCCACGATACTCGACAGAATCGATTCCGTCAAACCGTCCCACCCACTTCGTTTCATCTTTCGAACGCGATTGGCCAATCGCGTGGGAGGGGCCGATGCCTTGGGCTGCCGCTCGGGCCAATCGCGCCGCGCTCTAACGGGTCGCGGTGCACTCACACCACGTGGTCAGGCGGCACCACGTGGTCAGGCGGCACCACGTGCGACTACCACGTGCTCATGCGGCACCACGTGCTCATTCACGGCGGGGGCTTCACGTCGCTCGCCTGGTGGAAACCATCGACCGCGTCAGAGAACATCGTCGACAGGAACCATGGCTCACGTCTCATTCATAAATGGAAAAAACAATAGACAATCCGCAGTAGAGCTAGTGGCCATGCAACCTAAACGATGGACTAAACTAAACCCAGAGACGCAGACAGGCGAGACCCACAGACGCGTGTGAGTCTGCGGTACACGCCTTGAGGCACATTAAAGACACGCCCAGTGCCATTGTGGTCACGCAACCCAAACGATGGCCCCTCGTCTAGTGAACCCGCTGTACTCTGCGCCCCTTCAACGGAGGAGGAACAGCAAGTCTTGAAGCCCCCGCGTCGTGGCCAGCAGACGTCACTATTGGCACAGCCAGGTGCGAACTTTAGGGCATTCGTCTGCCAGTTGGAGGCGATAATTGCAACGCCGAGTTCCAATTTAGTGCGAGTATTTTGTGTGGCAGATTTAGGCCCTGACGTCGGTACACAATGGCCTACGCTTGTGAACGGCGTCAGGGCATCTTTAATGCCCGTTGTGAGTGAAGCAGGCGGCGCTAAGTATTATTGTGGTTATTCCGCCGCAGCAATAACCAGGGCGGCCGCTGGATTCGAACCGTGAACCCCTGTAACAAGCGGCGAGCCGCGCTCGAGCAAGGCCGCGTCACCGCTAATTGCAACTTTGATGGTGCTGTTTGTTGATGCCACTCGGCGTTTTGGACCTCTTTTTATCCACTGTGTTAAAGAAAATCCACGTGCAGAAGCCCTTCATTACCAATCTCCGGCAAGTCTGAGCAAGCCCGAGTCGAGCGAGGCAGGGGCAGTGGCGTGGAGAGCGAGCGAGCTGCCAACTCCCACAGCGCTCTCCGCCGGGCTCTCGGTTGTCGTTCGCCGTTGCTCGTTGCAGCTTCCTTCACAGCTCGTTCTTTTGAGAGGCGAATTCTTGTAGCAGTTAATACCTCAAGTGGCATTTGCCTGGTACGATGGGGATTGTTTAGTTTCATTTGAATGTGCTTGGGTGATTTGTTTTTTGTAGTTTGTTGTAACGTTCTTACCCGCCCCTACTGGACATCTGCGAAACGGAGCTTTATAGCTCTTCGGATTCCTTCTGCAGTATAAATATTCCGATTCTGAGTTAAAAGAGTATCGTGCCATACTTAACGCACACTGCCCGCCCCCCATGCCCCCAAGCGCCATCACATGAGCTTGTGCTGAATTATCACACAGAACTTGATCTGCAAAGCGACAACGATACACGGGCGGTGATGATGTGCGGGAGTGTTGAGCACAACGCGACACAACTACGGCGAGCAGCAGTGGCGTGGCTGCCGGGCGTGCAGGCGGTACAAGTCCAGCGGGGCCCACGGGCCACAGCGGTTCAGGTGCCAGGTTACTAGGGGGGGAGGGGATATCGGACAGCCACGCGAGGCTACTGGATGCCAGTTGGTGTCAAATGCAACGCGTGGAAGACGAACACAGATTCAGCGCCAGGTTCTTTCTTGCTACCACCGACATGCGACATCCAAACTCAAACAGCGGCGCTGAGTTCGCAACCCTTACGCCCATAATCCCCGAGACCACGACACAACAAAGCCTCGAGCGAGGCCTCATCACCCAACCCCCATTATGATTTGGCAAGAGCATTTTAAATAGCTTGACGCTAATGCAAGCCGTAATTATACGGGCGTCTCGTCCAGATTGCGTCAACTCTCCCGGCACGGCTGACGGGGGAGGAATCCGCATTCCGCCTCGGCTGCTCGGTCTGCCCTCCCGTGCTCCCGCCGTGTAGGTTACGGGTTCTTCGCGAGGACTCGGGCCGTCTTGTCGGATCGCAGATTTCCACTGCGGGAAGACGGGGCGCTTTCTCCTTCCTCCCGGACTGCGTTCACAACGGGGACGTTGGGGGGGTCCTTGAGCACGGAGCAGCGGTGCAGCGTTGCTCGTAGGCTGCTGCAGTTGACACAATTGGCATAAAAAAAATTATGACGAAAAACCCTTCCACTGCATCCTTGTCCCTTCGGGCTGTCGGCTCACTCGTCGCCCCGTCTCCGTTTCTGCTCCTCTGCAGAGCGGTTCCAGGTTCCCCCGCGTGGTCCCAAGGTCGGGAGGGAGGGGGGGGGGGGCTCAGGGATCCTCCCGCTCCACCAGGAAGTTGATGAGGGGCGTGCGGTGTGACAGGATGGCCCTGTGGACGGTGCGGCCGGCCAGGTGCTCGGCCCCGAGCGCGCTCAGCAGCACGGCGCTGCGCACCGCCTCCGCGTCGCCGGCCGCCTCCCGCGGGACCGGCACGGAGCCCACCGCCACGTTGTTCACCTGCGCCCGCACACGACGCGGACACCGCTTGAGATTCCTCACCTCGGTTCTCCAAGACGTCCACGGTTGCGCGTGGCGGCGAAGGCGCGCGGCGCGTCCCGGGGGGCCGCACGCCGCGGCCGAGCGGTTGAAACGTGGCCGTGGCCGATCGTACCCGGACCATCACGTTCACGATGCCGGGCTCCCGCTCCACGACTTGAGAGCTGGCGGTGGGCCACGGCTGCTGCAGGACGTCGCGGTCCCACTCGAACTTCCGGCCCGTCTGCTTGTGTGGGACGCTGCCCACGCCTGGGCACGCCACAGTCAGAGTTTCGTTTTGACCGCCCGCAGACTCACGACCCCGGGGTCAGAATTCGAGACGTGAGTTGAACACCCACCCCCCTACCCCCCCGTGAGTCATTCTGTTTCTTCACACCTATAATTATAATGGTGGTTAGCCCATTCATCTTGTGGAGACGAAAGTCAACTTGCACAGGGCTGTAAGAAACCTTGGGCAGACATCCGAACCCAATATCGTGTTCCAACCCCAGCGGCAGGGAAAGGGGTCAGAATTCCCGGGGGTAAAAGTCCCATCTCACTCTGGAACTTGCTGCTCGTTGGTGTCAGAGCCAGGAGTCGAGTCCCCGAGTCGAGGGCGACTTGGCCGGGAGACACCAGCGGCAGCACCACAGTGCTTACACATTACAAGTTACACGTGCATTAAAAAACATGTATTGATAACAATGTTATCTTAAACGTTTCTACAATTAGTAGAGAGATGGCGCGGGCTTCTGTATGTGCACGTGTGTGCGTGTACGCCGACACGATCGATCTCGCTCGGCTGGTCGCGGCTTGCGAACGGCGTCACCTCTCCAGAGCTCGGAGGCGAGGTGCGGCGCGAGTGGCGCCAGCAGGAGGCACAGCGTGGCGAGCGCCTCCTCGTACTCCTCGCTGAGCAGCGCCACACGCGCAGACGCGTTCTGGTACACAGGTGCACACACGCGCGCACACGCACGCACACACGCACGAGTAAACGCAAGCGTACACGCGCGCGGCGGGAACGTGCGAGCTGCCCAGTTTTTCGCGCGTTGTACAGACCAATCAGCCGTGCGCCGTCTCGGCAACACGTCTCACACGGTCGCACGACGTGGCCCGGAACAGGCGGGGACGTGACGCGGCGATGAACACGTCGACCCGAGTGGGGACCGGCAGTGCCGTGGGTGTCTGCGCTCACAGTGAGGACGTTGGAGAGCCCGATGAGCCTGGAGATGGCGGAGTTGAGGAGGAATTCTTCCTCGAACACGGCCGTCACCTGCAGGAGACGCGGGGGGCGCGGCGTCAGCGATCGTCGTGACCGCGCGCCGCGGCACGCAAAGGCACGACCCTGCGCGCGCCGTTGCTGCACGCGAACCGCAAATTTACGGCCGAAATAATCGGCGGGGTTGACAAATGTGCGTCACCGGGTGTTTACGTGTTACCGTGCATTAGCGCATGTCGCGCACGCACAGGCGGTGACGCAGCCACCGTCGCACGAGACAGTGACGCATTTACGAACATACAAAGATGGCGACACAGTGACGAACACATGAGGACGGCGACACGCTGGGATTGCGATGCCGCGGGGAGACGCTGGCATCACTGGCCTTGCGGACGGTGAGGTTCCTCTGCTCGCGGATCGTCGCGGCCTCCACCCTCTCGTCGCCGGAGAGCAGGCCGGCGTCGAGCGGCCCCGCGGCCGCCCTGCCGGCCACGAGGCGTGACACCAGGGCCCAGAGTCGCACCTGCCAGCGCAGCACGCCGGGCAGTGCGTCCGCTGCCAGCGCCGACGGCCGCACATGGCACCGAACACACGGGCACGCGAGGCACGGGGACACGGGCACACGAGGTTATGGAGTCACGGGTACACGGGGGACACGGGGGACACCGTGACACGAGGACACGGGCACACGGGGACATGGATACACGAGGACATGGGCACTCGGGCACACGGGGGTACATGGGCACTCGGGCACACGGGGGGTACATTGGCACACATGGGTACACGGGAACACAGGGGACACGGGCACACAGGGTACACGGGAACACGGGCAGGACAATGGGACACAATGGCATGGAACGTTGGGTGGGACACACGCCCAATAAGTGACGATAATATTCATCGCCACAGTGATTTGTGTCAACGGAGACTGAGTGGAATGAAACTCATCGAGCGCGACGATGGCTCGGACTTCTAACGCACAGCCCAAAGCAAGAGGGAATTTCTGAGAGGGCTGCTTTTAGTGTTTAGTTCTTTCCCCGCACCTCCGATTAGCACAGTTGGCTACGTATGGTGCAAACAAAGTTAAACATACAAACTACAGAGGGGGCACAAGCGAGAGGGCACTACCGAGTATGAACGAGGCCGCAGCCCGAGACCGTCGATCACGTGACGAGGGACGGCAGTGCACCGAGGAATCAAGGCGTGGTCAATGGCTAGACAAAAAATGGTTGACCCGAGCTCACCGATTGGCTGACCTCGTAATATTTACTGCGGGGGTGTGCGGGGGGAATTGTGCACCCCTCACTCGTCTATTTTCTTTAGTCGACCAGGCTAAGGGAACGACTAAACCGAGGGAGCGACTAAACTGAGGGAGCGGCTAAACTGAGCGAGCGACTAAAGAGCGACAAGACCACGACGGGAGCACCGACTGCGCGGCCGGGGAGCAGCGCAGCGGGCGGAGAGAGGCTCGGGACAATGCGTCATGGGGAAGGAAGACGGAATGTGGAGTGGGGGGTGTGAGGGGGAGCGGGGGGGGCGGCCACTGTGAATTACGGCCGAGCCGGGATCGGCTCGGAGCCAGGAATTCGCTCTTGGCACGCGGCGCGCGGGCGGGCGGGCGGGCGCGGGGGGCAACGGCAGCGGCGCCAGGATCGCCGCGAAACCGGCCATTGTGAACGGAGCAGGGAAGCTGCACTGCTCACCCCCCGCACCCCCTGCCCCAGCCCCCACCCCCCTGTAGCAGGCGGGGTCAGCGGAGAAGGCCACGGCTCCGGTGGCAGAGGAGTGGTGGGGAGGGTGGGTTGTACGGTTAGCGTCGGCACAGTGTTGGCATGGGACCAGTGGCTCAGTGGGTGATTGCAGGGATGGTGGAACACAGGTGATACAGTGTTACAGGTGGCACAGTAGGGATTGTACAGTTCGTATGATAGTGGCACAGTGAGGTGGTAAAGGTGGCAGAGCGAGGGTGCCACAGTGGTACCGGTAGTGAGGGGCGATTGACACAGCAGTTGCGGTGGGATGGGCAGTGCGGTGAAGCACGTGGTGATGCACGTGGTGATGCACGTGGTGATGCACGTGGTGATGCACGTGGCGTGGTCAAGCGTGTGGTGCTGCGGTGGGGTTGACGCCGGCGCCACCCACTCTTGCTGTCCCACAGCAGGTCCTGCTCGGGCGGCGCGGCGTACAGCAGAAAGAGGCGGGCCGTATCCAAGCCGTAGGCGGCCAGCACCTCGTCTGGCTCCACGCCGTTGTGCTTCGACTTGCTCATCTTCTCCCACGTCACCTCCAGCGCCTCGCCCGTCGAGCGGTGCGTCGCCTTGTCGCCTGCGCGGGATCGAGAGGGGGCCCCGCGGGGCGCAGGGAGCAACGGCGGTGTTGGGACTCGCGCGGCCGCGGCACCCGCATCCGGGCGGTCACGTCGATGCCAAAGCGACGGCACGGCGAGCGGTCGCGGCACCGTCCGGGAGAGAACCCGGCGACCGCTTCGGCGAGCCGCGTTTGGCCGCGTTTCACCATCGCGAGCCGCGGCCAAGTGCGTTGAGGCGGCTGGACCGGCGACCGCCCGTACACCACGGCACGCCAGCTCACCGCCCCCGCCACCGCCAGGCACGCGCCTTCCCCCCCCTCCCCCCCAACGTTCTGTCTGAAAGTCACGTGACCCCGGCTCACCGCTGACGAGCACCTCGCTGCGTGGGAGGAACTGGCCGGTGGACGGGAGGCGGAACGTCTGGCCCTTGATGAGGCCCTGCACCAGCAGCCTCCGGAACGGCTCCCTGGAGGACGTGGCAGAAGACATTTCTACAAATCTCCATTCGTGTGAATGGGAATCTTTAATGCACCACAAAGCAGACACGCACAAGGTGCAGACCGGTGCTGGGCAGCTCTGGCAGGAATCGGAATGCAATCCCACGGTACCACCCCGGACGGTTGTTCAATGGGCGATCGCCATGCTAAATTCTCGACATTCTAACAGGGTTAGCCTGCCATCCAGTGGGGAGCTCTGGAATCATGCTCAAAAGGCCCGTTATAGTCTATTTTTATTCCGCTTATTTATCCAGCAAAGTCTCAGATGATTTTTCAGCGCTGAGGATGTTTGCATGTTTTTTCTTTTAGCTGTGCGAGGAAACCCGAGAACCCGGAGGACACACACGTGCAGGACAGGGAGGACGTGAACTCGACGAGGCTCTCCCGGGTGAACAAGGGCAATCGCAAGAACAACAACTGTGGGAGAAGGTCGACTGGATGCGGCGTGCCGGGTGCGGAGGAGGCGGCGGAGGAGCCGACCTGGTGGCCACCATGCCCTGGTCGTGGCAGAAGTGGCTGAGGAAGCGTGCGTAGTAGAGGTGCATCACCGCGTGCTCCTTGCCCCCCACGTACACGTCCACCGGCATCCAGCGGTCGGCACGGGCCCGCGAGAACGCACTGTCACACCGCACCGCGTCACACACCGCACCGCATCACACCGGACTCTCACATCACGCCATGTCACACCGGCGTGTCACACCGCACCGTTACACCGCACCATACCATACCGTGACCTCAGGCCACAAACTGTGGCACATAATGCCACAACACAAGGGCACAATACCACACTGCAGCATGCGTCTACACCAACACTATAACGCCACGCTCCAACAGCACCACAATACACACCGAGTTGTAACACCACACGCACCGCACCACTGCAAAGACTCCGTCTCCACTCTCCAAAGATCAACCAATCACAGGGTGCGGTACTGCGTCCTGCTCCTAGCGAAACCGCTGCCGATTGGTTGTCTGGTGTGCGGACGGCCCAGGGAGCTGACGTGACGATTCGGCGATCTGGGTTCGGAGCGGGGACGCTCGGCTCCTTGACCCCGGCACTCGCCGGAAGAAGCAGCAATTTGAGAGTCCAATCGCAGAGTTAGATCGTAAACAGAGCGCGCGGATCAGGAGATCTCCATCTCGGCCTCCGCCCGCACATCCTGCCGGGACCCGAACACGACCGTAATTCACAGCGCAGGCCGCGCACGAGTGCCAACGCATATTTTGTAAAATGTTTATTTATCCAAGGTTTTACCCCAATGCACCCTGTGTTAAAGAATAGCCAAGATAATGGCCTGTGGAAGGAGACAACGTGGAACTACTTATGAGATCCATTCAAGTGACCCCGACGATCCTAGAAGGGGAGCGCAGCTTCTAGGAGTGGAACCATCAAATCTGAGGACAGGGCGAGATGGTGACACGATGGCTGCCGTGGGGGGAGGGGCGCACGGGGAGGGGAGGGGGTCGAGCAGCCCCGTCGGGCGAGGCCTGCGCCACCAGGCCTGCCACTCACCTCGTGTCGTTGTCGGGGTCGGTGTACCGCAGGAAGTACCAGGCCGAGTCCACGAAGGTGTCCATGGTGTCCGTCTCCCTGCGCGCCGGGCCGCCGCACCTGGCGCAGATGGGCAGAGGCCGTGGACCCCGGCCGTTAGCAGCTCGTGGCCTTGACGTCACGGCCAGGACGATGCCGACGGTCACGATACCGAAATTCTGCGAGGCTCAAATAGGACGGCTGGTAGCGCCTCCCTCCCTCTGCCTCACCCACTTTTACATAGCCACGCCCACTCAATCACTAGCTCATGCCCATCACACAGACATGACAAAAACATAAAGACAAAGACTCGCATATGTCCATGTGCATCTTTCGCACCATACGGAGTATCAGGATGTTGGTGCGTTAGCAAGCACCTATTATGGCCCGCACGGTACGCAAGGGCCAACACCACGCCCTAGTGGCGATGCTTACACATCGCACCAGGTACTCATTTCGAGGCTGAGTCGACCTAAGGGAGGCCCAGGACCATCAATGGTGTTGGCCGTGAGCGGGAATAAACTTCAGGTCGTTAAGTTAGTAGCGCAGCGTGTTAACGGCGACACTACTGCTCCCCTAACAGCACGATAGACGCACGCGCACCACACCGCGCCAGGCCACCGTACTTGGGGCACCGGCAGTGCAGCCAGTCGGTGGCGGCGAGCAGGGGCGACGCGCCCTTGCCCGTGAACGTGGCGACGCGGGGCAGATGCACGGGCAGCTGCGAGGGTGGCACGGCGACGGCGCCGCACGCGCCGGCGCAGTGCACCACGGGGATGGGCGTGCCCCAGTAGCGCTGGCGCGACACCAGCCAGTCGCGCAGCTTGGCGCTCGTCGCGTGGCCCCCGGCACCCAGCCGGCGCGCGAGGAGCATCGCCGCGTCGCGTGCCGCCCCCCGCTCCAGCCCCGACAGCTGCCGCGGGGGGGGGGTCGGAGGTCAGAGGACAGAGGCAGCGTCAATTTCCGTGGACGAAATTAGGGACCCATGATCTGTGTTTGTTTTTGGCTCCACTTGGCTGAACTGGACAAAACTGGTGATGAAAGCGTTTGTCAACGAAGTGCTTTGATCGGGGCTGACGATGATGACGATGATGACGATGAGATCTGAGCGACCCGTCTGTGTTTCTGTCTGTGTGGGCAGAATCCGGGAGGCCTGGTGGCTCCGGGCACTGCCCTCCCTTTGAGCCACTGTGGGGCGGGTAGTGGACCAACCACGCGGCCAGAGGGTGGCTCGGGGCCAGTGGTGAATCTGTTCATGGAATTTACGGCGAAAACTTTCACCAACGGCGTTCCTTCACTTTAGTCGAAGGTGACAAAGTGCGGACGGAAATCATCACCAAGCGTGACGAACCCAGAAAAGACGACGCTAACGAGTCTCTTTGCATCTCCCCGTACTCTCCCCTTTTCTTCTGCCTGCTCTCCCCGCGCTCTCCCGGCACCTGCTCGGAGTTGATGACTCTCTCCGTGCCGTCGGGCAGGCTCTCGAGGACGGCCATGCGCTCCAGGCCCAGTTTCTCGGCGACGGCGGCGTCCTCGGGGGATGCGCCGGGGATTCCTGGGACGATTCACGAGCACACGGACGCACCAAATCACCACCGAACCCCCACCGAATCCCCATACGATCACAACCGAAACACCACCAAAATCACCATCGGAGCACCAATGTCTTCACCCGGCAGTGGATGGATCGCGGCTGATATTGTCGAAGGCGTACCGATCACGCACTCCAGGTAACCTTCGAACTCCGAGTTGGCGGCAATGACGACGGGGATCCGTTGTCCGGTGAAGGGGTGAACGGCCTTCACCTGGGTCAGGACGTCTGTGGAGACAGCGCCGGAGCGGTGCACACGGTGACGCGGGGTTGATTTGTCGACTCGCTGTCGCGCCACGGGCACCTTGGTATGACACGGAGACTACGACTCCAATGACGACCGCTGGCCGGACGGTCACAAACGTAGGAGACGGGAACCGGAGCGGAAAGGGCGACGAGCAAACACGCTCCGTGTTGCCGGGAACGCAGCAGGGCGAGCCGCGCCAGAGCGCGACTCTTCTCTACGGCCCGCCCGCACGTGACATCACGCCCGACCCGGCTAGGCCTGGCCTGCTGCGCCGTTGGGCGACGGCGGGAGACCGTCGGGGCGGACATTGGAGGCCGGGAGCGTCTCTACTGCGCTTCTCGACTGTGCGGCAGCAGCAGCGGCAGCAGCTGCGGCTGCTGCGGCTGCTGCGGCGGGGTCTGGCGTAGGGGAGAGGGCATCAGTAGCGAGGAGGAGGTGCGGTGGTGGTAGCGGCACGAAGACCGAGTGACCTCGATTGCGACCGATCGAGCACGGCTCGTGAGGATGATTTGGGGACTGACCGGTGTCGGGAGAGACGTCGCCACCGCCGAACGCTGCGCGCAGCTGGCTCTTGGGGTGCAGTAGCCGGTGTCGGCGCAGCAGGTGGAGGTGCGATGCGCCGTGCGCCGCCTCCGGCGCGTACGTGAAGGCCGGCAGGACCTCGCCGGTCGGCTCGCCGTCCACCTGCCCCGCCACCGCCACACAAGCGATCGTTCGTCACCACGGGAGACGCCGGCAGCCTCAACTACCCAACGGAATGTTCATCTTCATGGGCGAAGCTGACAAATTGTCCATCAAGAGTGATGCTGAGAGTGCGAACGAACCGAATGTCACCACGGGTGACACGGGCAGCCTCAACTACCGAGAGGTCTGTTCATCAAGGGCGACGCTACCAACCCAAACTACCCAAGCGACTGTCCTTGATTGTCAAAACTAGCAGCGAGAACAACACAAGTGTACACACACACACGTGTGTGTGGAGAGCGGTGGTGCGGTGGCTCGCGCACTGCGCTACAAATTCGGTGGCCTGGGCTCGATTCCCACTCACGGCCAACATCAGTGGCGAATATCTGAACAGATCCTGATCCTACCCTAGGCCGACTCCCCTGAAATGATGAGCTGTTGCGGTGCGTAAACATCGACACTTGGGAGACAAAAGCTGTGGTACCCGCCCCCTCCTGCGCCTTAAGCGGTGCTCGCCGACGCCACTTGCCCCAACGGTCTGACGAAGGCTACGCGGGGGACCTTTGTCTGTGCGCCGCGTGTGCGGTGGCCGTCACCTCGAGGGGGAAGTGCAGGAAGCAGCCGGAGCAGTCCCCGAGCCAGTTGGCCTGCATGGCACGCACGCCGTGCCACGCGGGCAGCTCCTGCAGCCCATCCAGCAGCGCCTGCCGGTGACACACCGCACGTGGACGCTCAACGGCCGCAGCCACGCCCGGCCCACGCCGGTGCCGGCACGTGCGTCCGCGCGTGCGTGCGTCCGCGCGTGCGTGCGTCCGCGCGTGCGTGCGTCCGCGCGTGCGTGCGTCCGCGCTCGCGCCACCTTGGCGTAGGCGGTCGTGCGCAGGAACCACTGGCGGATGTAGCGCTGCTCCACCACGGCTCCCGAGCGCCACGACCGACCGGACTCGTCCACCTGCTCGTCCGCTAGCACCGTCTGGTCCACGGGGTCCCAGTTCACCAGCGCCTGCTCACCAACACGTCACCCACAATCACCCAACAGCAACAACCATCGTGGTGCCGTCACCGCGGTGCCAGGCCAGGTGCATGTCACCCACCACCACCCACCACCACGACCCCACACGGGCTTTAAGGGCTTCTGCTCTCGCAGGAGTCACTGCTAGATGAGGCCGTCGGCATCTCCCATGATGCTGCGATGTCACAATCCATCCGGAACCCGCACATTGGCTCATCGTATCACTCCATCTCTGTCGGGGATGTCCCCTTGGCCTCCGCTCCATCACGAGTCTACACCATCGGCCATCGTCCCTTCTCGCGACTCTGACGACCAAAGCGTACAAATGGCGAGTCCGTCGCGTACCTCCTTCTGGTACGCCAGGCCAGCCTCGAAGAGCTTGACGAACAGGTACTGAGTCCACCTGTAGTACTCCGGCTTGCAGGTGTAGATCTCCTGGAACGAGACGTGGGGCGGGTAGCGCGCAGGGCGCGGCACGCATCAGCCCGTGCCGGGCCGCACCGCCGCACCGTCGCCGCGCCAACAGCAACCCACGTGTGTCTACAGCGTGTGAACGTACGCGCGTATCCGCGGGGCGAGTCGGGGTGCTACTCACGCGGTCCCAGTCGAAGCACAGGCCCAGGTTCTGCAGCTGAGTCCGCATGTGGGCGATGTTGCTGCACGCAGACACACGTTTGCACGCGTTCGGGTGCGCTTCGACATCGGCATTTGTGACGCAGGGTTAGGAGGGTTAGGAATTGGGGGCGTCACGGGGCTAAGTAACGAAAGCGGCGCCCCGCCGTGCAAGAGGAGCGACCCTGGAAGATGACGTCACAGAACCGCTTCTCGGGTCCCTGCAATTCCCTCTTATCCCCAGACAGGGGCGCCACCACCTCACGCCGCCCGCGGCACAGATGCCAGTCCAGTGCCAATCCAAGCGCAGGTCTTGCCGACGTTATACATCTGGAATGCTCGCGTTCACTTGCGAGCCGCACGTCGCCACGGCGACCCCCCCCACCTCGTTGTCCACTCCTCGGGGTCGAGGCCACGCTCGATGGCCGCGTTCTCCGCGGGGAGCCCGAACGCGTCCCATCCCATGGGGTGCAGCACCTGGGGGGGCACGGCAGGGGGCACGGGGCGCCCGGTTAGGGGGCAACCGCGCGTCGGACACGCAGTGCGGGGCACGCGGCATTGGGCACGGGGCGGAGGACACCCTCCACCGCACACAGGCGATGGAGCGCGGGTCGTGGGGTCGGGCGGGTGGTCACGGGCCGCGGCGCCACGAGAGGAGCGTTCACGGTAACCCCCCTCCCGCTCTGGGTCCCGTCTGGGGACGCGCTCGCCGTCGACCGCACCGCGAGTCCGAGCGGTTGCGGCGGCGGCGGCGGAACGGAGGTGCGGCCCGGCACTCGCGCCGGGCGCTCGCTCCCTCGGGAAGCCGCGGGGCGGCAGAGCACGACGCGCTGGGCCGTCGCGAGGTATGCGGGTGGTGACGCTGGCGGTGGTGGCCGTGTTTGTGGTGTCAAGTGTTGGTGGTCACAGTGATGGCAGTGTCGGTGCTGGTGTCGGTGGTGTTGGTGCCAGTACTGCTGGTGTTGGTAGTGCCAGTGGTGTTGGTAGTGGTGGTGTCGGTGGTGTTGGTGCCGGTACTGCTAGTGTTGGTAGTGCCAGTGGTGTTGGTGGTGGTGTGGTGGTCACCTGTTTGCCGTTCATGCGATGGAAGTGCGCGATGGCGTCGCTGATCGTGTAGACGCGCACGTGCCCCATGTGCAGCTTCCCCGACGGGTACGGGAACATGGAGAGCACGTAGCTCTTGGGCTTCTCAGCCTGGGGAGGAGGCAATGCCACAACAGCACATCATCACCACCACCACAACAGCACACCGCCACCACCACAACAGCACACCGCCACCACCACATCAACACCACCACATCATTACCACCACCACAACAGCACACCGCCACCGCCACCACCACATCAACACCACCACATCATCACCACCACATCATCACCACCACCACAACAGCACACCATCACCAGCACATCATCAACACCACATGATCACCACCACCACAACAGCACACCATCACCACCACCAGCACATCATCAACACCGCCACATCTTCACTGCTGTGTCACCACATCGCTTCCACGCCATCGTTGCACCACCACATCACCAGGTACTCTTTTATGGCTGAGGTGATCTAGCTGTGGCTCAGGACAAGTTAGCACTCATCACTCACGATAGCCGAGTTTAGGAATCGAACTCGGTTTGCCGAGTATGATCTGTATGAACCACTGTGCCACTGCTCCCTAAGCACTCTCACATACACACCCATTATACACGGCAGTGGAGTGGTCAGCACAGTGCATCACGAACCCGACAACCCGAATCTGATTCCCGCTAAGTACCAACATCTGTGATGATTGTCTCAACCGGTTCTGGGTCTCCCCTAGGTTTACTCAGCTTTAAATGGGTACCTGGTGGAGTGTGTAAATATCAAAACTTGAGAGATAACGGCGGCCGGGCACGGTGCTGGACACACCACCCCACCTTACCCCCATGCTCCACTGCTACAATACTAGCCCTCCCTGTGGCTGATGAAGATAACGAGGTCCAACCAGGTGAACCCACGAGGTTCTGGGCTCTGCAGGTCGTGACCCGGGCAAGCGGGCCATCTCTGGAGTGGCGAGGGTCCCGTACCGGACCGCTTGGCGCCGGATCATCGCGTTCCCCCACCGGAGCGGTTCACAATGTCCCCGGTAATCCGCTCCCAATGGAATCCATCCGCTCGCCCGCGGGTAGCGAGGAAGGGGAGGGCTGGAGGTGCATTGTGGCCAGCTTAGCGGGGTAGCGTACCGTCCACGGGAGATTCTTATCAAACGTAATTAACACAACCGCTAAATATAGCCAGCGATAAACTCGTGGATGCCCGAAAAAACTAAATTGTGGGGAGAAACTCTAGAGAAAAGAATATTGTAGTTCACAGAGATGCATTGTGGGGTCATTATGAATCCGTGGAGTTGTATAGCAGGGTCATTTTGAATCAGTGGAGTTGTATAGCAGGGTCATTATGAATCAGTGGAGTTGTATAGCAGGGTCATTATGAATCCGTGGGGTATCTATAACGGGGTCATTATAAATCCGTGGGATCTCTATTGAGGGGTCATTCTAAATCCGTGGGGTTCTATAGTTGGATCATCATAAATCCGTGGGGTATCTTTAAATAGGAATAACACAGGTCAGCGATGCTGTAACTAAAGCAAATCGAATGGAGAGTAATTTGTGTCGGACTTGTCATGGAAGTGGAGAGCCAACAGGGAAGGAAACAGCGGAAGAGACGGCATCAGCAGCAGAGGCCACGGCCGCACGGAGCAGCGGGGAGCAGCGGGGTGGAGGAAGACGGGGGGGGGCTTTGTCAGGGGGGGGGGGGGCTTTGTCCAGCGGTAAGGAAGTTACCGGCTCACAACAACAACATCTATAAATGGATCGCGCGGTTTGTGTGCCTATGTCACTGTCAACTTAAGGTCACAGGACCTGTAATTATACCGCCACATATTTACTCGGCGCAAATATTTAAGCGGATGGGATTGCGTGTTCGGTGCGACGCCCGTACGCGCTGTCACAAAAGCGCGGTAACGCCCGCGCCTCCGGACTCCGTGCTGCGCCAAGGATACTGTTACGATGACCTCCGACCCCCTGACACGAAGGGACAAAGCGAGCGAGAGCCGAGGCGCTCGCTCCGGCGGCGCCGGGCGACTTCAAGAGCGCCGTGGGTTTTTAACGAACCACGGTCAACGACCGAGCGTAGAGATTTAAAGAATCCCGGAACAAGGACTTTCACCTCGCCCCAAAAATCAATCGCGGGCGAGAGACCGCGTTTTAAGGAGACGCGCATCGATCGCGCCGGTTTGAGCCCAGCGGTGGCTGCAGCCACGACGAGAACGGTTCAGGGGCCGGGGTCACGGGAAAGGGGGAGTCAACGTGAACTCCGATCCCACGCACGGGGCAGCCGGGTGGAGCGGGGCTCGCACGGCGATCTCGCGCCGTGCGCCGGCTAACACCGCGCATCGCCTCTCCGGTGCTCGCTCCTCACAGCACCGCTGAAGCGCGTGGCGCCACGGAGACTTTCGTGGGCCTCACTCCATCGCTGTCAACGCCCCAAAACTGCTGGAGCCATCGCTTCACGCACACACGCACGCCCTTGGCTCCTCTCCCATCTCAAGAGCGGCTCGATGCCGAAAGGTCGATTCTGCACGATAACTTCACTTGCAATTATTGAATATCCTCGTGTCTACATTTCATGGCAAGAGTCACCGTATACTTACACTGCACATAGACTCACGTTGTTCAATGACTCGCATTGCCCACAGACTAACAATTCCCACACTCACATTGCCCACTTGACTCGTATATCCTCATCTGTATTCGTACCACAGTCACCCTATATCTGTTTAATGTTTCTGTAACTTATTTTGTAATTGCGCTACGATCAGCCGAAAAATAATCTGCCCAAGCCGACTTAGGCTACAGGGAATTAATTCATTCATACGTAATTAGAATTGTGAAATATTTTAAGATGTTAACCATATGCAGTTGTGCTTGCTCATATTTCTATTTGCATTATTGTTGTGCTTCAAATGATCTGTTTTGCTCTTGTCAGATTGGTGACCGAGTTCGCGCTTGCAAAATGAGGCTAATCCTCGTCTCTCGAGTTCGCGGTCACACAAACCGCACTTGGCGACTTGAACCTCGTGTTTGAGTCGCATCGCGTCGTCGTTCGGCGCCATGTCGGACGTTTTGCTCCACGTGCTGGGACCGAACCGAGCCGTTCACCTCCCCCCGCGACGAACCGAGCCGAGCCAATCAGCATCAAGAACCAGCGACGCCAGCAGCAACGTCAGCAGCAGCCGTCGGCGCTTTATGACGGAGGGACAACCGAGCCGGCTCAAACCAGCCGTTCCCAGCAGCACGCGGAGCGAAACGTCGGACACCGCGCCGAACGTCGTGCAGCACGACCCGAAAGCGCACGGGAGGGCCGCGTAGCAGCGGATCGCACTTGTTTACTCGGGCGTCCCCGGGACGAATCGGCGCTGTGGGTTCGTGCGCTGCGAGCCACCGGGGGGCTTTGATGCTCATTTAGAGAGGCGTCTCACGAGGTCTTCGTGGACCGTTCCACGAATCGATTTGCAACTGCGCCGTCCGTGCAAATGCCACTCTCGCGTGCAAACACCAGCTGCGGGAAGGTAAAGGCGCATCCCTGCAATAACTCGCTCACGCCACTGCTGGCGGAAGGGCTTCCACCAGAGAGGTGCTCTGCAGAGCACCTTTAGAGGCTTCCGTGGCCTCGTCTCCCACGCTGGCCAGACGTCTTGGAAGAGGTGGGAGTTCTCTTACTTTACCCCGCCAGCACTCGACCTGCTGGTCGTCTAATCCCAGTGTATCCTAATGTGTGCTGCCGGATGGACAGAGGCGGCGGTGGGGATTAAGAAGCTTGCGTCGCTGCGTCCGCTGTGGCGCTGGACGCACCGAGCGGTCTGCTCCCACCGGACTTATTACCCTCTCCGACACTATTTTTACAAGCGCTTTTATGATACGGGCTTGATTACATTAATTTAATAAAACCGCTTCAGACGATTGTGATTTAATTTCCTATTATGCGCATTGAACACGACCTTTGTGAATTTCACTTGGCGGCTGTTATTGACGAGATCCGTTATGCTACAGTTACATTTTGAGGTGTATTCCCTTGCAAATGGGACAAACGGGACAGGCGGTTCCCATTAGTGTCTCGTGGGGAGTTAAATCGCGGTTCCACGTGGCACGTGGTTCCAATGCCTGACACTCAGTTGGAATGCAGAGGGACCTTGCGATGATGCGCAAGTATCATCTGACGATAATGGCCTCGGATCCATAAGCCCTTGAGGTTGAACAAGCATCATCATTATGCATAAATTTCTAAACCGGATATTTTCCGGATCGCTGTCGAGACCGGAGTCGGCGACACGTGGCCAGTCGAAGCCACGGCCAGAGCGAGCGAGGGCGATACTGGATGTGGTGTGCCCGCGTCTCACCGAGGAGCGCGACAGCTCTTTGCAGATCTGCTGGATCCTGGGTCTCCACCAGCGCTCCACCTTGGCGCGCGTCTCCGCCGTGTACCGCTTCTCCCACTGCCCCGTCTCGCTGTAGATGCTCCGCGCCGGGACCCCGCGGCGCGGCGGGGGCCACGCGCAGCGCTGGGGGGCCCACGGCACGCGGGGGGCCCGCAGGCGCAGCCTCAGCAGCATGACCTGCACAACGCGGACGGTGGCCACGATGGGCACGGCTCATTAGTTGAGCGCCGTGACGGATGGACGTCGCCTCTCGCGGGTTTTGTCGTGCGGTGGGCCTCGTGTTGCTGCGGGCCTCGTGTTGCTGCGGGCCGTGGTCGGGCCGTGGTCTGGAATGAAGTCACGGGGCCGTGTCTGGGCTGCGAGTCGCATGGCCAACTCACTACTGCGGCTGGGGTCAGGGGTCGGAAGTTTTTCATCCCAGAGCTCATTACAAAAAAATTGCACGGGGTGAGGTGAGGCGACGGGGTGGAGGAGACTCGGGACATCGGCACGGATTTGTCATCAGATCTCCCGGACGGGAGCACTCATTAGTGGACCCGGCGCGCGCGTCCGTGTCACGCGCGCGAGTCCGTGTCACGCGCGCGCGTTACATTTCATCCGCGTCACGCGCCCGGCGGCAATCGATGGCACTGGGTGCTCCTCTAACTCAATTGGCTCGGCTTCTTCATCACCGGCAGCGATGGTCTATCCACTGCTGGATGAGAGCAGGACCGGTTCACAAAGTACCGTAGCCACTGATGTTAGCCGTGGTGGGTAAGAGACAGTCGGGGTAGCTGCTGCGTTAATCGCGCAGTGCGCAAACCACTGCCCCACCGCTCGCACAATTATCCGACAATGACAGTACGGGCATTGTGTGTAAAAACAAAGACAAAGATCCCCCGTGTAGCCTTAACAGACTGTAGGGGCAAGTGCTGTTAGCGAGCACCTACGAAGGCCGGCACGGCACACGAGGGGGTGGGTGGCCAGCACCACGCCCGACCGCCTTTGTCTCCCCAGTGGCGATGTTTACACACCGCTCCAGGTACTCATTTAAGGCTGAGTCGACCTAGGGGAGGCCCAGGATCGGTTCAGATAATCGTCACCGGTGTTGGCCGTGAGCGGGAATCGAACCCGGGTCTCTGGGTTCGTAGCGCTAACCGCTACTCCACCGCTCCCCACACAACACACACACAGCATCTACGGGGTTCACGCCATGTGTGTGACTTTCATCGGCACGGGCGATTCAACAGCCATGCAAACGAGACGACAACTCGCGACATTGTTCATGTCATAGACGGTGATGATCACTCATTGATGATGGAGCTGGGCAAACGTCGCAACATCGGACCACAGAACTTGGGAATCTGCTGGCGCCGGTTCTGCAGGCTGTGGCTTGCCGCGCCTCTGACTCGCGCTCGCTCTCTCCGAGTGAACAGAAACTGTGCGCGCTGTAACAAGATCCTCATCAACATTGTTGTTGATGTTCTCTGTGTGCAACACTCACGCGTACAGCAGGCGACTCGGCGTGCGGTTGTCTGAGACCGATCCGCTCTCGCCCGCCGACAATAGTTGTGTGTACCCACTACAAACAGTGCCTTCTCCACTGCTCGATACACAGCGGACACACGCGCGCACACGTGCCGTGGTGGTGTACTGTACCGTCCACACGTGCTGCCAGGGTCGCCCTCTGCGCGTCCATCTTGCTCAGGGGGCGCGAGCCGCGCGCGCCATCTTGCTCAGGGGCAGCCCCCGCAGTGGCTGTGCACACTCCGTGCGGCGCACAAACAACACGGTCCGTGTCAACAACAACAACAACACCGTCTGTTTGTGGCCTTTACAAGGAAGAGGTATAGCATCGGTGACGTTTCGGGCAATAACCCTCATTCATGGCATATAAACAGTGGGTGACACGAGTTGGAGATTGCGCGTTTGCACCAAGGGAGGGGTCACAGTTTTTGAAGGAATGTGTCCCGATGAGCATTGCTTGAGGTGACATCAACAATATAAACTATGCACAGATATTGGTCTTAAAAGCATGTTCCTCGGTGTAAAGTGCAAGTCTACCAGCTCTGTGGCTTGTCTTTAATTAACCCAGAACCTCCGACTAGCACGGTTGACTAGAAGAGCTTCATACAATTTGGGTCTTTCGGTAAAGTCACGTAGAAGGGAAATAATAAACTAATAAAAATAAAACATAATAAAATACAATTCTCACGACGTTTCGGCCACAACGCAAGCAGCCGTTCTCAAGTGAAGAACAGGTCTGTCGGGAAGACAGCGTCTGAATGAAACACCCCAGGCTTGGAGCGTGTATTTAAGCTGCTGGGTTGGAGGGGGAAGAGCGCCTTGACAAAATAATTTGCATATCAAGATGAATTTAGCATATTTATGGGAAATGCTATAAGTAGTTTGCCTTTAGAGGCTGTGACCCCCTTCTCCTGATGACTACCGCTTGTGTTGCGATCCGGATGATCGCTGCAAAGTATGATCTGTGTTTTGATTTAGTGTGCTGATCTTAAAGGTGCATTGACAAATGTTGATACTCCGACTGATGCTCCTGCTGTTGTGGAGTGACTCATGCAGCCAGCTATGGCTGCAGAGTTTGGTGGTACATGTTGTTTACGTCGTTTATTGTGAAAATTCGGTCACAGTTCCTATGATCACTGTTACATTGCTTTTATGGCTTTATTTTGGTGATTTTCGAAAAGTTTTTGGTTTGGCCATGTTTGTTTGTTGTAGTACAGAGTTAGACTGATGGCCTTAATCTAAGTTGTCTTGTGGTTGTTGTTGTTTGACTTGCATCCCACTGGGATTTTTGCACAGCGTTGGTGTACGGTGATTTTTCTGCAATATGTTGCTGTCTTTTCTTGGATTTTCTGTTTGCACTCAGTCACATATTCACTTTAAGATGTTTTTTGTTCATGTTTTTGTTTTTTGTTTGTTGCGGTTGCACCCGATTCAAGAGCCGAATGGCTCACAGGGCTACACCAAATACATAAACTTGAACATGAAATGAACTTGAACTTGTCACCGGATCTGAGTACGTGTGTAGAATGTGGAGTTGATTGGACAACAGGAAGTAGACTAAATGTTGATTACAAGATTTGACCACGACACAGGAATCAAGTTGAGTAAAAACGTTGAAAAAAGGGGAAAACCTATTCCAAGAGCTTTATAGCTCTTCAGATTCGCACTTCATTCTGATTGGTCAATGGGAAGGAACGCGAGTGACGTCATTGAGCGGTAGACGCCTCTCTCCCTTAGTAACATGGCCGCCGGGTGCGGTACGCGCGCGGTGATGACGTCACGCCGCCCACCGGCCAATCGCCATGGGAGAAACTTTATTGACACCGTCGCCCACGTGTGCCGATTATTCGTTGTATCAATAAAGTTGATATCGGCGCTGCTGGGTTCAGCGCGAGGGTGATTATGTTAATTTATGCAAATAGACCGAAGTCCATTTAGCCAATCGGGGCTGAGAATAAACACGCGCGTGTGCCGAGGAGTCACCGCAGCCGCGTGGCATCACAACGCAAAACTCGCGCACAACAGAGCACATCAAGTGTGCTGTACGTCAATTATGATTGAAGTACACACACGTGACAACAGTGTCCGTGATGTACGACGGAACAGCGACACGAACTCGCTGTGCTGAAGCCCTCTCGGTCGTGGCGAGCAGCAGCAGCGGCAGCGGCGTGGAGCTGCGAGGCTGTGGAGCTGTGGAGCACAGCGCTGCGGGAGGCAGCAGCAGCAGCAGCGTGGAGCTGTGAGGCTGTGGAGCTGCGAGGCACAGCGCCGCCGCCGCTGCTGCTGCTGCCTCCCGTGGTGCGCAAGGCGAGCAGTGCCGCTGGCTGTCAACCTTGAGAAGTGCCGCGATGTGTCTCGGCGTTAGAACTGTTGTGGCCGCAGCTGACATCAGTGGGGAGTGATGCCCTCAATCACATGCCCCCCCCCCCACCGTCGTTAACCCGCAGTGACCAGCGCGGTGAAGTATGGTCAGAAGCAACAACCCCCGCGAGCGGCACGGCGTAGGGTGGCTTGGGCCCACCAGTGGGCTGACACTGCGCTCAGTCGTGGCCAGGGCTCTGTGGCTCGCGCACTCCGCCGCTGTGAACCAGGCCACCTGAAATAGCAACAAAAATCGATTTTTTGTTGCTATTTCATTTATACCTGATGATGATTGCTTGTGTTGCAATCGAAACGTCGTATGGTATTATTTAATTTATTATTTTATCTTTATATACGTGACTTTACCGAAAGAACCAAAGAGTAATTCCTGCAGTCACGAAAGCTCCAAAATTAAGATCAGGCCACCAGAGTTCCGATTCCCGACCACGGCTAACGTCAGTGGCGAGTGATGGCCCGACCCGGGCCCTCCCTGTGGCGGCCTCTAATGAGCAATAAAAACAAACTCCGGCCGTCAATCAGGCTGCGCTGAAGCCGCACCAATAATGGAACATTCTCCACCTGTACCTGGGCCCTCACCTGCCCTCACCTGCCCCCCAGCCCCATCCCTCCCCCCGCACCCCCTCGACGCCACGGGGCTGCCGGGCGGGGTGAGCGGGGAGACGGAAATAGCCGCGGCTGCTAAACCCGAGACGCGGGCGCCAGGGAGAGATCTCGCGTGGATGATCAGTGGGTGTGTGTGCTGTCAAACTCCCACCACCACCACCATAAAACATCAGCACAAGAATTAAACATCACCAGACATTTCCATGATCAAAAATCTGCATCATCATTCCTAATCACCATCATTAAAATCATCAATATAAAACGTATCATAACTCAATTATTAATAAATAATCGTCGTCATCAGGTAGTCTTCATTTGAACCTCCCGATGCTGACTGACGTGGGGGCTTCATCCAGCAGTGAGTGTCAAAGTGCTGTCATGTTGGTTCCTAATGAGCCCATCAAAATCTTGGATCTATGGTCTTTGTTCCGAGGGAGAGCTGCGTTCAAAATAAACACATCACCACCACCACCACCATTCACATCACGAGCATCAACACCATCATCTCAAACAACATCATTATCAAAACCATCGGGAACGCTATCAGCAACAGCATCATCACCATTAGTACAATCATCGTCATCACCATCACCACAATCTTCATCACCATCACCACAATCATCATCAACACTATCACCACAATCATCATAATCACTACAATCATCGTCATCACCATCACAATCATCATCGTCATCACCATCATCACAATCATCATCATCACCATCACAACAATCATCACCATTACCACAATTATCATCGTTATCATCACCATCACCACAATCACCACCATCACCACAATCAGCATCACCACAATCATCGTCATCATCATCCGCCGGAGCACGTCAGGACGAGCCGCGTGTCCCACGGGGCGGAGCGGAGCGGCCCCCCGCGGAACCTCCCCGCGGGAGGCGGCAGCGTCACCTGCAGCAGCAGCAGCAGCAGCAGAAGTAACAGCAGCAACAGCAGCACCAGCAGCACCAGCAGCAGCAGCAGCACCAGCAGCACCACCAGCAGCAGCAGCAGCAGCAGCACCAGCCTCCTCGCGCTGCGCATCTCCCGCGGGAGACTCGGAGACATGCGGCCCGCTCGCTCAGCCACCTGCTCCACCATCCGTTCCACCACCCGCGCCAGCTGTTTCAACTCCAGCTGTTCCAACTCCAGCTGTTCCAGCTCCACCACCCGCGCCAGCTGTTCCATCTCCAGCTGTTCCAACTCCAGCTGTTGCAGCTCCAGCTGTTGCAGCTCCAGCTGCTGCTGGTGGTCGCATCGTCAACTCCGCGCCAAAGTCGCCGTCGCACCCTCATGTCCGCTGCGGCGGCTGCTGCTGATGCTGCTGACGATGATGCTGTTGACGATGCTGATGATGACGGTGGTGGGGTCACAACCTGTAGCAGAGGCAACGAGTCGCTGGACACTCGGCACCACCGTGGCTGCTGCTGCTGCTGCTGTCCCAGGGGTCTCCCCGGGGTCCCCGCATGCGACCCCCCGGCCAAGAGGGGACCCCGCATCTCCGGACCCCGTGTCTCCGGACCCCGCGTCTCCGGACCCCGTGTCTCCGGACCCCGCGTCTCCGGACCCCGTGTCTCCGGACCCCGCGTCTCCGGACCCCGCGTCTCCGGGCCCCGACCCCGAAGGTGCAGAGGAGGACACGAGCTCGGATTGTCCTCCTCTTGATGATGACGCGGGTGCACGTGGTGAGGATGACGTTGTTAGAAGTTATGTTCATGCTGCTGGACATTTTGTTGATGATGTTGGCGACGACGATGATGATGTTGGTGCTGGTGTTGATGATAACAGTGGAAATGACGATGTTCGAGATGACGCTGATCGTGAGGGCGACGATATTGGAGATGATGATGATGATGGAGATGGTGGTGGTGGTGGACCATGGTCTACAGCGGACGCTACGTGCAACATCTCGCTGACTCCGGGCACCACGGGGCTCCAGGCGCGGTGGAGCGGGACCGGCTCCCCGCCGTGCGACCTCCACATCTTCTCCACCAACCCGGGCCGCGCCTCCTCCTTCTCCACATCCTTCACCCGCGTGCGCTCCCCTCTGCTCCTGGAGAGACACCTGGGCGAGGACGATGGCCACGGCTACAGAGCTTGCGTCTCGTGCGCTCCGACGGCCTCCCTTGGCCTTCGGGCCCCCCGCGCTCGACCCTTCTGCTGCCGGGACATGAGCCGCGCCGAGGTGTACCTGTGCCCGGGCTGTGGTGGCGAGGGGCCAAGGGTCCGCGAAGGCGGCAGGGGGCCGCTGGAGGCCGCCGTCGTGGCCTGCTTCATGACGGCGGTGCTGACCGTCTGGGTTGTGGCCGCCCTGGTGTGGCCGGTTCCCATCGTCGCCGAGTTCCTGCCCAGCCTCCTCACGGAGCCCCGCGGGCGCCGCGTGGCCGCGCGCCGCTAACCCGGGCGGCGAGCGGCCGAGCCGAGCGTGGCCCTCTGTGGTGTGGCTCGAGCTTGGGGGAGGCTACAAACGTCACGCTCCGCGATTTCCCACGACCTCAGGTGACGGCGTGTGTGTGTGAGTGAGTGCTGGTGGATCACGTTGAGTAACTGGAGAGAGATGTAAGTGGCTTCACTGCCCACGCGTCGTCACAGAGACGCGTGGGCTTGAAGCGGGGATCGAGAGAGAATGCGGGAGCAGAGAAGTGAAGGAGACTGATGACTGGTGGGGAGGAAGTAGATGTGGGATCTGGAAGCAGGTGGCTCATGGAGGGTAGAGGAGAGGTCTGCGAGATGGTGGTGGCGAGACGTGACAGGTGCCAGGTGGTGAGAGAGCGATGGACGTGGGAGTGAGTGGGGAGAAGATTTGGGAGCGGCTACCCAGGATTCCAACGGTGACGGCAGGGTGGAGGAGACCGAGTGAGCCGTGCCACCAACGTGGATGTTCACATCGTGGTGGTCGCGAGAGGGGCCGCATCTTCCCGGTGCTGAGAATCGCGGCGAGCGATGCCACCGAGTCGCGCCCACAGAGTCACGCGCGCGGACCGGGGACCACGTGATGGCAGTACAGCAAGTAGCTGCAACTCGCCTGCCGTGCGGCCTGCATCGCCGACTCTCCGCGTGTTCACCTCGAGGACGCGTGAAGTGGTGTTCTCCAGGTTCTCCGGTTTCCCGTACAGTTAAAGGAGCAGCTCCGCAATTGCTCGCCACGCCACTTGCTGGCGGTAGTGGCCGCCACTTGGCGGAGCTCTCGAAAGCCTCTCCCAGAGTGGCCACGTGGCCTCACTCTTTCTGACTGACCAGATGTCTTGGGAGAGCTGAGAGTACCCATCACACTTTACCCCACCACGCGAGAACTACCGATTCAACTGATGGCTGTGATCACATTCAGACTGCTGGATAGAGGGGGAGGGGGTGAAATGTAATAAAATTGCTTCTTTGTTTCAACTGCCGCGCCGCGAGATCGATCCGGGATTTGCAAGTAAACTGTGCTGACCATTGCGCAACTGTGGCAGCATCTCATGCAAACACGACAAACCCCGCCTGCTTTATTTAAAACAAGAGGTGGCCAAACATCCAATGGAGCAGGACCCCTCTTAAAAGAGTCTTGAGACTCAGCGAGGCTCCACTCGCGGAGTATCAAACCCCGTGACTCAACCGGCTCTCTTCAGGGCTTCTCCTGGCGCCGTGGTGGCGACACATCAACCACCTCGCCTGGTGTACAGGAGGTCGCGGGTTCCATCCTGACCCTGACGCCTGCTGTATAATTTGAGTTTGCGTGCCTCTCTCCCCGTGGTCGCGTGGATTTTTCTCCGGGTCCTCCGGTGTCTCCCTCCACATTTAGAATGAAAGTGCGTTGAGAGTATGTGTCTGGTATATATATATATTTCCACATGATAAGCCACTTCGTTGGGCAGGTTGCTTCTGAAAAAGAGCTACCACAGCTCAGTGGGCCTCGTGAAATGATATAAGCTGAGACACGGAATCGCCTGGAACCTGACCTCCGTGCAGTCTCAGATCTCCCCACGGGGTGGCGCTCACGCATCAGCCACGCTCCAAACACCGCCCTCACCAGCTTGGTGAAGTAGCTTTCTTTTGAGCCTCGTCTCAAACGGTGTTAGACCAGAGTACGCCGAAAGGCGTTCAGCACAAAGACAATGCCACTAGCAGAGTAATGAGAGCTCGGGGTGAGCGTCTACATCATGGGACCTCCTTTTATTATTCTTATACATTATTATTATTACCTGATGACGATTGCTTGTGTTGCGATCGAAACGTCGCGATATTTTTTTTTGTATTTGTTCTATCTGGCTTTACCGAAAGACCCAAAGAATATTATTATTCTTATTCTCTGGGATGCTGCTGCTGCGTTGGCAGTGGTGCACGAGCACAGCCAACAACAACAACAACTGGACGCGTTCGTCAACAACAACACCGTGTGTTGTGTGTGGTCTTAGACATATGACAGGCGACGTTTCAGGCAACGGCCCTTCTGCACAGTACATAGAAAGGCCAGAGAGGTGGAGTCAGTCCCATGCCACCCTCTATGTGTCGTGAAGAAGGCCCACAGTGTTATTGATACATGGTATATCATTAATTATAACGCGCACGTTTCGATTAATTTCTCGTGAGAACAGTAATCAATACTAATCGATGAACCGGCGCGTGTCCACCTGTGCCCCCTTGCAACACTCCTGGGTCACGGAGGGCATGCGCCACCGCGGCGAGATGTTAACTACTTCGCCTGGTACACAGGAGGTCGTTGGATTTTAGATTTGCAGTTCTCTCGCCCCGTGGACGCGTGGATTTTTATCCGGGTTCTCCCGTTTTTCCCTCCACGTGTAGAATCGACATCACGCGTTTAGAGTAGTTGGTCGCGATACATGTCCACACGACGATCGGCCACTTCGTTGAGCTATCATTTGTGGCCAGGTCGCTTCTGAAAAAGAGCTACATAGCTCAGTGGGCCTTAGCTGGCAACATAAAAAATAGTTCATAGTTTTAGTTGAATCAATAAAAGAAAGAGTGTATAGTTGTTATAGTCTGGGGCGGCCATCACATTGCTGAGTGGGCAGACTTGTCAGCAGAGGGCAGTGCTGCTCCCCGCCTTTGTGAACATCGCGGTGACCAGCGTGGTGCAGCGTGGACACACCAAGTGGCGATAATACAAATGCTGTACAGATGGTTACTGAAGGGGGTCAACAGTTGATATGCGCGTCAAGCTAACACAGTGATCGGGTCGTGGCCAATGTGTGCGCGCCTCGAGTCCTCTTGGTCAAGGGGAATAGCGGAGCGGCGGCCATGGAACGGGAAGCGTGCGAGACGACCGCCCACCGAGGAGATGGAGCTGTGATTATGGGGCAGGCGCCGGGTGGAGTTTTGCATCGCAAGATCGTGAGAGGAGGGCCTCGTCCAGCAGTGGATTGACCATGGCTCATGATGATGATCGTGCAAAATGTTCGCACACAGGCCAAGCATCCACGCAGATCTCCCGTGCAGCTCGCACAAGCTGGTGAGGAAAGTGTTGTTTGCGAGTATCGAGTAAAGCCGACACGGCGCATCAGGGGGTGGGTGGCCGACACCACGCCCGGTCGCCTTTGTATCCCCAGGAGCAACGTTTACCCAGCGCACCAGGTACTTATTTGAGGCTGAGTCGACCTAGAGGAGGCCCATGAGAACAGAGACGCGCGGAGCAACGCCGTTCTTGCTGCACTGCCCAGCGCGTGGCCCCGCAGCAGCCCGCGGCACGCACGGCGGCCGCCCAGCGCCCAGCGCTCTCCAGGCTCAGCCCCGCTGAGACTCCGCCACCTGTCGGCACCGAGCGCAGTGATTGCGGCGTTCCGCCTCGAGCGGCATCAATCATTCATGCTCGCGGCTCTGATGCCCGCGGAGCTCAAGCCTTTGAAATCCGTCGTCTCTCCTCTCCCCCTCTCTCCGTGGCCACGGGAGGTGCGAGGAAGGCTTAGGGTAGCGCTCACCTGGAGAGCGTGCGGTGGCATCCCACCTCTTGACCTGAATCCAGAGCCCGGGTCGCGACGTCTCGCCGCGTGGCGATGTGCCCCCGTGTCCGTGTGCGCGCTCCAGCCCCCCCCGTGTCCGTGTGCGCGCTCCAGCCCCCCCCGTGTCCGTGTGCGCGCTCCAGCCCCCCCCGTGTCCGTGTGCGCGCTCCAGCCCCCCCCCGTGTCCGTGTGCGCGCTCCAGCCCCCCCCCCCGTGTCCGGGTGCGCGCTCCAGCCCCCCCGTGTCCCTGTGTGCCGTTCGGCACGATGCTCGACGTTTTGCTCCACGTGTTGGAAGTGTTTTTTCATGGACAGAAGCGAAACGCCGGACATCAGTACGCTGTACAACCCTGACTATGATTACCGTAAGGAGAGTTCAGGCCGCGTCATCGCGACCCACGTGCGCCGTCGTCATTCTCGACTCGCATCGGTGCCCACGTTCTGTTCGGGGTGCCCCTTGCAGCCGCGAGAGGCGTTACATCCACCGCAGCGTACAACACGACCTGTGATGGACGTGTTCACCCACAGGGATCGGAAACCAAAATAACAAGAAGTGACATTTTTTTGATATTTAGTAAAAAAAACACCCCCCGTCAATATTTAACGAGCCGCAGTGCACGTGAACACGAGACGCAATGCACGTGAACACGAGACGGTGGTCCTTAATAAGTAACATCACGAAGCAGTCCGGAGCCGAAGGTTGCCGACCCCTGAACATGACCAGACCGTGACCCCGAGTCGTGGCAACTCCCCGCGTCGCCAGTGAAGTCTGCGGGTCGTGAAGGGACCCGAGACTCTCCCACGTGCGCTCGGGTCGTGCCGCGTGACGCTCAGATTTCGCGACGATGATTCACTCCGCTCGATTTACCCAGGAAAGCCTCACCGAGTCTCATGAATATTGTTTTTGCAGCGGTGGTGCTGGGAACTTCTTCAGGAGCTGAATCTTTGAAGGATCTCCCAGGGCGTGCTGCGATCTTTCTCCGTCTCTCACCCGTTGTTTGATCACGCAGCACAGCACTTGGTGGCGAGGCAGAGACGAGAAAAGAGAGAGGGGGGTGGGCAGTCAGAGAGCGATGCGCGATCTCACCGCGGAGTCCCGCGCGGAATGTCCGCCGCCTATCCCGGCACCACGTGACGACTGGAGCGCAATGTACCACGTGACGACTAGAGCACAATGCGTCACGTGACGAGTAGAGCACAATGCACCACGTGACGAGTAGAGCACAATGCACCACGTGACGAGTAGAGCACAATGCGCCACGTGACGACTAGAGCACAATGCACCACGTGACGAGTAGAGCACAATGCACCACGTGACGAGTAGAGCACAATGCACCACGTGACGACTAGAGCACAATGCACCACGTGACGACTAGAGCACAATGCACCACGTGACGACTAGAGCACAATGCGTCACGTGACGACTAGAGCACAATGCACCACGTGACGACTAGAGCACAATGCACCACGTGACGAGTAGAGCACAATACACCACGTGACGACTAGAGCACAATGCGCCACGTGACGACGAGAGCACAATGCACCACGTGACGACTAGAGCACAATGTACCACGTGACGACTAGAGCACAATGCACCACGTGACGAGTCGAGCACAATGTACCACGTGACGACTAGAGCACAATGCACCACGTGACGACTAGAGCACAATGCACCACGTGACCACTAGAGCACAATGCACCACGTGACGACTAGAGCACAATGCGTCACGTGACGACTAGAGCACAATCCATCACGTGACGACTAGAGCACAATGCGTCACGTGACGACTAGAGCACAATGCGTCACGTGACGACTCGAGCACAATGTACCACGTGACGAGTAGAGCACAATACGAGTAGAGCACAATGCACCACGTGACGACTAGAGCACAATGCGTCACGTGACGACTAGAGCACCATGCACCACGTGACGCCTCATTCCACGCCGGCGCGTGGACTGCGATGATTTATTATGAATGTTCTTCCCCATTATTCCAGCAGCGACAATACCACCGGTGCCTTCCCCGTCTCGCTCCGCGGGCAAAGGTCGCGTGGACGCCTTAGCGCCGCGGAGTGAGATGCGTTTTGTCCAGGCGACGGAGGGGGGAAAGGCCTTGATCCAGCAGTGGATTGACCACGGATGGTCATCATGATGATGATTGATGATGATTGATGGTTGGAGCGACCGTCTTCTTTGTTTCACTCCAAGCGACGCGCGTCACTCGACCGCGTTTCGCACCCAGATTGAAACATCTCGGAGTCACCGTGAATCCCAGCTCGATCGATCGATCGAGCGACGAGGCGTTGGTGCTCATATCCCGTTTACAGCCCTGCGCCAGTGACAGACATTCCACATTCCTATAGCAGGGGCGAGTCAATTATTCGTAAAACCACCGTTGATTTCCACACATAGTGGTAGGTATTTTACCTACCCCGGGGGTATGATTGGCTGAGTCAACCTTCAACCAATGTTTGAACTCGCAACGTTCTGATCGTGAGCCGCTTGCTCTGTCGCTTTAGTGGGACGGGGGTAAGGGGAGTTCTCACAGTGAGCAGTGGATCATGTTGAGGAGTCGGAACGACGTGCCTACGTCTGAGGTCCCTCCACTTAAACTAAACTTTTTAAAGATTGACCAGGTAAGGCCCCACTGAGATATGTAGCTCTTTTCAGAAGCGAGTGGCCACAAATGAGAGCTCAACGAAGTGGCTCATCACGTGGAAATGTAGAGCAACCGAATACTCGAAGCGTACTTTGATTCTAAATGTGGATGGAAAATCCGGAGGAACCACGGAGGGAGAGAGACACGCAAACTCCACATATACAGCAGCAGCAGGCGTCAGGGTCGGGATCGAACCCACGACCTCCTGCACACCAGGCGAGGTAGTTAACATCTCCTAGCCACCGTGATGATGATGAGAGAGAGACACGCAAACTCCACCTATACAGCAGCAGGCGTCAGGGTCGGGATCGAACCCACGACCTCCTGCACACCAGGCGAGGTAGTTAACATCTCCTAGCCACCGTGATGATGATGAGAGAGAGACACGCAAACTCCACCTATACAGCAGCAGGCGTCAGGGTCGGGATCGAACCCACGACCTCATGCACACCAGGCGAGGTAGTTAACATCTCCTGGCCACCGTGATGATGATGAGAGAGAGACACGCAAACTCCACCTATACAGCAGCAGCAGGCGTCAGGGTCGGGATCGAACCCACGACCTCCTGCACACCAGGCGAGGTAGTTAACATCTCCTGGCCACCGTGATGATGATGAGAGAGAGACACGCAAACTCCACCTATACAGCAGCAGCAGGCGTCAGGGTCGGGATCGAACCCACGACCTCCTGCACACCAGGCGAGGTAGTTAACATCTCCTGGCCACCGTGATGATGATGAGAGAGAGACACGCAAACTCCACCTATACAGCAGCAGGCGTCAGGGTCGGGATTGAACCCACGACCTCCTGCACACCAGGCGAGGTAGTTAACATCTCCTAGCCACCGTGATGATGATGAGAGAGAGACACGCAAACTCCACCTATACAGCAGCAGGCGTCAGGGTCGGGATCGAACCCACGACCTCCTGCACACCAGGCGAGGTAGTTAACATCTCCTCGCCACCGTGGCGCCCAACTTGTTTCTTATTCACACGAGGGGGGGGGGGGGAGTGGGGGCTTGTGCACCCCCGCCCCCACCCAGACGTTCGGGGTCTCTCGCTCAGAGGCCCCCGGAGGCCCCAACGCCGCGCGGTCGCCTCTGCCTCATCAGCCGCAGCCGTCCACAGGCCCCGACGCGAGGTCCTCGTCCGCGTGGGGCACATCGCGCCCCAAGCTCGCGCCCCTATCCCAGAGCGCCACGCCCGGCTGGTCCTGTGGGTGGCGAGGTGGGGGCTGGGGGATGCTCGGCTCAAGTATTCACCGCCACCTGTGAGCCTCCTCACCTCCGCGAAGCGTTCACGATGAAATGTCGCGGCTCCGTCTCGTCGCGCGAGCAGCGCGCGACGAGACGGCACCACCGCCAAGTCCTGGCCCCGGAGCGGAATGTATAATTAATTAAATAATCATCAGTCTATCGCGATCGAGTGCCTGAACGAATGCATGAGTGATATGTGGTGGTGGCGACGGTGGTGATGGTGCTGGCTCACAGCACTTGCCTAAATAATATTTTAAGGCTTTACGGATGAGCTTTGTCATTTTGGTGATGGTGTGAGCTGTGGCGTAGTGGTTAGCGCATCGCGCTACGAACTCGGATGTTCCCAGCCACGGATTTCATCAGGAGCGAGGGCGTTGAAGCGAACTTCTCTTGCAGGGAGACCACCGACAATGCATTTCGCCAACACACGCACTGACCAGCGTGGTGAAGTATGGTCGAGCACGAGCCAGGCGACAGGACGACTCGTATTATCAGGCTGTTACTCCACCGTCCTCATGGTGATAGATCAACAACACTGATGTCCTCATTCCACGCAGCAGAGGCCCCCCACTGAGCGTCAGGACTCGTTTCCACGAGGACGCTGCTGCTGCTGCTGCACTGGGGTCTTTGGCTTCACGTGGGAACAACCCGGAGAACGCCCACCACGAACACGAGGGGGTGGCAACACTCGCAGCGCCGCACAGATGGGTTCACGAACCCTCCCTCCCAGCTTGCTGTACTGCAATCTCATGGGCACCACCTCACAAGCCGGGGGGTTCGGGATTTTCACAAATCTCTGTGTGATCCACACAGATGTGTGGGTGTCCTCCCCTAGGTCGACTCAGCCCTAAACGAGTACTCGACGGGGGGAGGATGTAAACATTAACATTGACAAGAGCGGTCGCGCCTGGCGCTGTCCACCACCACCCCGCCCCCCCCTCGTGTTGGCCTGAATAGGTGCTCGCTAACAGCACTTGCGTCGAGAGCCTGCGTAGGCTGCACGTGGGGACGTTTGCCGTTGTGTGATGACGTCGTATTAATCGCAGATGTCCTGCATAGGACATTAGACAGAACCCCGGGGGGCATCAATCATTCATACGCGAACGCTGCGGTATCAGCTTCGCTCCACGCGCCGCGCTCGCCTCGTTATGGATTTTATTTGGAGCAGCACATTTACCGGCAGGCCTCTAACGGTGGTGAGTAATCGGCGATGGATGTGAACCGGGGGTTTTGAAACTCCGCGCTGAAGTCGTCATGGGAAGCGCTCCCTCGTCGGAAGCTCATGGCCGTGTCGGAGGCACCGAGTCGGCGCAGCTGAGGACCTGAGTTGGGGAACCCGGCCACAGCTGCCCAAGCAACGGCGATTGCGTCCTGCCGTGTTGGTGAGTTGAGGGTCCCAACCCGGTCACCAATGACTCATACAGAGACCCATAGACTCGCACAGAGGCCCATAGACTCGCACAGAGGCCCATAGACTCGCACAGAGACCCATAGACTCGCACAGAGGCCCATAGACTCGCACAGAGGCCCATAGACTCGCACAGAGGCCCATAGACTCGCACAGAGGCCCATAGACTCGCACAGAGACCCATAGACTCGCACAGAGGCCCATAGACTCGCACAGAGGCCCATAGACTCGCACAGAGGCCCATAGACTCGCACAGAGGCCCATAGACTCGCACAGAGACCCATAGACTCACACAGAGACCCATAGACTCGCGCAGAGACCCATAGACTCACACAGAGACCCATAGACTCGCACAGAGGCCCATAGACTCGCACAGAGACCCATAGACTCACACAGAGACCCATAGACTCGCACAGAGGCCCATAGACTCGCACAGAGACCCATAGACTCGCACAGAGGCCCATAGATTCGCGCAGAGACCCATAGACTCACACAGAGACCCATAGACTCGCACAGAGACCCATAGACTCGCACAGAGACCCATAGACTCATACAAAGGCCCATAGACTCGCACAGAGACCCATAGACTCGCACAGAGACCCATAGACTCATACAAAGGCCCATAGACTCGCACAGAGACCCATATACTCGCACAGAGACCCATAGACTCACACAGAGACCCATAGACTCGCACAGAGACCCAGAGGTTTGCAGACCCATTGGTTCAAGCGTAGCGATCGGATGGCCTCCGCGTGGAGTTTCCTGCTCGCCGGCAGGGAGGGGCCCGTGCCAAGGGCCCCGTGAGTCCCGAGCGCCACCTTCTCGACGTCATTCTCTCGCACAACGAGATGCACTGCTCACTGGAGGAGTTCCGAATGGCAATGCCATTTCCTCTCGTGAAATCCCGCCGATACCAGCGTGGGGAAGCAATGGTAAGGAACGTTCAGGAGTCTTCTTTTTCTTCTTCCGTACGTCTGCCGATGTGGACGCAGAGCGTCAACCACAACTTCACATCCAGGTGGTCAAGTCCGGTAACCGCGCCAGGAGCGAGCGGAGTGTCCTCGCTGTGACGTCTCCTTTCCTGTTTGTGGATCGGGCGCACTGCTACTGGAGAGTTGTCCATTTTCCATTTGTGCATCATCAGGTAACCGCATCTCCGGCCACGGTCTGTGCAGTGAATGCGGCTTAGGGTGAACCACGAGCTTCCTGGAGGATCAACCCCAGGGGGTCTCCTGCGTTGGGGCTTTCACAACCAGGCGCTGTCTGCGAGCTCTCGTGAACTCCATTCCATTGAGCTCCATTAACGACGCCAATCTGCATCGAGTTAAGACTCGGGGCCCGTGTTGGGGCAGCTGCTGTTAGCGAGCACCGATCAAGGTGGGAACGACACCCGATGGCTGGCGGCGTGGCCAGCACCACGGCCCAGAGGTCACCCACCCGGGGGAGTCGCGGGGCGACCCTCGCCACCCATGTCAGCCGCGGCCGGGGTGGAATTCGGGTCGCCGGGTTTGTGACGCGGCGTGCTGACCGACGCTCCACCACCACATCCACACAGAGACAAAAAGTCCCCATGTAGCCTTGCACAGACTATTCGGGCAAGTGCTGTTAGCGAATGACCGACACGGTGCGCGAGAAGTGTGTGTGTGGCCAGACCTCACGCACGGCCGCCTTTGTCTCCCTAGTGCTGATGTCTCTACACAGACACACATATATATACAAATCACTCGGAATCCGTAGCCCCAACACGCTCGGACACGCAGTGCCCGCGCGTGTTGTGAGAGTGTTTCACAGCGCCCACGGTTCAATGCCTCGCGTAGCAAGAAAACGGAGCCCCCCCTCCCCCCTCCCCCGCAACCCGCCCCGCGCTTTGTGATTGTGGGGCGGGTGGGGAGGGATGGAGGGGAGGGGCACCCCCTGTGATATTTCGCGACTCTGGGCCCATTACCTGGCGAGCGGGGCGAGACAATGGGAAGTGATTTGGCGCGGGGCGCAGGCAGGACGGGAGGGTGGGGGGAGATGTGTGGGGGTGGGGGGAGATGTGTGGGGGGTGGGGGAGATGTGTGGGGGGTGGGGGAGATGTGTGGGGGGTGGGGGAGATGTGTGGGGGGTGGGGGAGATGTGTGGGGGGTGGGGGAGATGTGTGGGGGGTGGGGGAGATGTGTGGGGGTGGGGGGGATGTGTGGGGGGTGGGGGAGATGTGTGGGGGGTAGGGGAGATGTGTGGGGGTGGGGGGGATGTGTGGGGGGTGGGGGAGATGTGTGGGGAGTGGGGGAGATGTGTGGGGGAGATGTGTGGGGGGTGGGGGAGATGTGTGGGGGGTGGGGGAGATGTTTGGGGAGTGGGGGAGATGTGTGGGAGGTGAGGGGGGGTGTGTGGGGGTGGGGGGTGGGGGGGATGTGTGGGGGGTATGGAGAGGGGACAGGGGAGCTGCGTGCGCGTGCCTCTCTCTGTGTGTGTGTGGTGAGTGCGGTAAAAGTGGGGGTGCCACGCGTGGCGAGTCTTTACAACTGGGCCCCCCCCCACTCCTCACACTCCCTCCCATGCCCCCCCACCACCCCCGTGGGACCCGCGTGCTCGCGTCGGCCTCCAACCCCCGCTGGTGCCACTCACACGCGGGGGACGCGTGGCGGCTCCGCCTGCTGCCGGCTCTCGCACGCCGACCTCCCCGCCGCTAATTGCCCAATCACTGCGGATTGATGACCGCCAATTCGCTTCCTCTGAGTCTGAGAGGCGCGCGTCGAGGGTGTTGCTCGCACGTTGCCTCGCCGCGCGCAAAGCGCCGAGTCGGTGCCGTCTCTGACTTCCGCGCTGCCGAGGGCGTCTCGACAAAGCCAGCGCCAAGGTACAAGCGCAGCCCTGCAGCAGCTGGCTGCTCACGCCGCTGCTGGCGGACGGACCAGCAGCAGGAGAGGGAGCTCTAGAGTGCCTCCCCCTCCCCCTTGTTACCAAGATGGTAGTTGGCCTACTCCTCCACCCACGCTGGCCAGACATCTCGGAAGGGGTGATGGTACCCACACTTGACCCCACCACACGCTTGCCCATCGTCTGTCGAGCCGTGGTGAACCCGTGTCTGCTGCTGGGGGGCAGAGGCGCGTGGGGGGCTGGGGGGGAGGGATGAGGCCCTCATCCAGCAGTGGATTGTCACAATGGGCCGGCGACCGCGTGGGTTCAATCGCGAGCAGGCGACGCGCGGCGCGCCGTGATTCGCTGTCGCCGTGGCCCTTAAAGAGGTCGAGCGGCGTCGCTTCGCGGAGACTCTCGATCCGTGTCGGGAGACTCGAGACGGCCTCACGGGAACGCGCGCAGCGGGGCCCGGAACCGGTTCATCGAACCGCTCCACGCCCTCTCAGCGGCACGCGGACACCAGGAGATCCTTCGCTGACATTTCGTGGAAAGAAATCGATCGATCAAGTCATCAGCATAAAATATGGGAAGTTCTCATGATTTACCCTCGCTGAGTGGCAGCGAGGATTGGGCCATTGATTCAAGTACCGAGAGGTGCGGCTTCTTGTGAAACCGGCACGCACAGATAGATGCAAGAATCCATCC